TTAGTCTCATGTCATTTACTTTATTTTGTCAACAATTTTCTTTGCTTACCTTACGTTTCATTGAGAAAAAAGGATATATACCACACTACCATATTGTCCAACTTCATTGGCCAGGAGAGCATATGTTATGAGTCATTCCATGGCCCAATACTTTTATCTGACATTTTTCCCTCTTTTCTCCATCTCCCTGATTTAGCTCATATTTGTTATTCCTACTATATATATATAAGCCAATACATGTATTGTAGCTAGAGATGTTCACAATTGACCAAGCCTTTATGCCTGTCAGCAACTGCATGAGCCTTTCATGAGAGAAGTGACTTTCGCCACCCTCTCACATGAATACTCTTTTGCTCATGAATTGATATCAGCAAGAACATCACTATCGATGGCATACATATTATTGATCTGCGAAATAAGGAAATAAATAAACAACCAATCTCATAAATGGTAGATTAAGACTTACTTATTAGAGGATATCCATATGTTTCATCTTATCTTACTTTTGATCACTTGCTCTATTTGTCTTATATATACTTACACCTTCTGTCATTTCTCGATCACCTATATAGTCCAGCTGTTTCTATCTGCATGCCTCAGTCACTTCACCCATGTTGTGTCTGACTGAGATATGTATATCCCTACTGTGCTTATAACTATAATACTTACACTTGTTTGTAGATACTCATATATATTCTTCTGTCAATAGGTACAGTAGACTCAATATAGTCACTTCACTCATGTTGTGCCTGACTAAGATACTCACATATATTCTTCTGTCAATAGGTTATGAGGCTCCATTGCCTATAACTACTCAGTCAAAAAGAATACGCAATGAAATTTCGACTCAACTTACCACTTGAATTTATACCATACCACTACCCTCATCACTTTATACCACACCTCTAAACAATGTCGTCGATATTGGGAGTCACTATCCTCTCTGACACAAGTAACCATTTCAACAGGAAGAACTACACCTCATGAAAACTCCAACTTACTGAGTTACTGAAGAGAAAAGGCCTATGGGGATATATTGCAGGAACTACTGTCTGTCCTGCCATCCCTGCTACCACTATCACAGCCATGGCTACTACCACACCCCTTCCACCAGACCCTACTCCCATATACTCATCCTCTCTCTCATATGATGAGTGGGTCTTTTGTGATCAGCTCGCCCACTCAAACATTATCCTCAACATTCTTGACCCTATTGGTCTAGGGGTCAAGACTGATGGAACAGCAAAGGAATGCTGAGACTCTGTTGCTGCAGAACATGCAAAGAAAATGGATATAGCCCTTTCCGAGGCTGAGACATTGCTGAATGCAGCAAAGTTTGACAGAAACAGTGACATTAATATTCATATCACCAACCTGTGCACAAAATGACAAGCTGTAAATAACCTCCAAACCACAGCATTGAGTGATCAGAAGTTCAAGAGAATAATTATTTGCTCAATAATCCTGACTGATCACTGGATACCTATCCTCCCAAGTTTATACAGCATGCCAACATCCTCTGATGTGTTTTCCCATCTTCAAACCCATGCTGCTACACTTTATGCAGCAGATAAAGGTCCTGCCAACTCCCAAGCACTTGTGGCTAGAGTCAGAATCTCTGTTGTAGTACATGGATGTCACAATCCAGATTGCAAGGCCTATGATAAGATTAGGCACACTACCAAGAATTGTTATTGGCCAGGAGGGGGAAAGGAGAGACAATTCTCTGCCAACTTCAGCCAACCTCACTGTGCAAACCAGGCAATCTTAAACACCATAGCTAATACTACAAGGTATTTTGTACTTGCTGCATGTGCTACTACAGTGAAAGTCAATCGTGATGATGATGGCATTGTAATTGAGGATGGCAGCACTGGCGAGAGGATATACGAGTGGAATAGTACCCATTTCTTCTGGCGCTGGAATGAAACAGAGAGCAGCACTATATTGATGTTGAAGATTGAAGAAGAGACAGACCTCAAAATGCCTCCTCTTACTGACATCAATGACTCTGATGATAAAGATATTGCTGGAGACAATGAGATACCTTCTGTTAAGAGTATAGACACTAGCAAGGCCAACATTGAGAATGTAGGACACTTTACATGTGAGGCTGACCCTGCTACAACAGCCTTTATCATGACTACATTCAAAGACTGTACTTCAGCCATCACTCTAACCTTCATGGATTCTGGCATGAGCGATTACTTCTTCAGAAATCATGACAATTTCATAGAGTACACACCAGTAGCTTTCCATACTGGCTCATCTGCAGTTGAGAGAAAGGGAACATTCAAGATCCTGAGCCAAAGTATAGCAACAAAGGTCTTCAGACTGAATGGAAGAGATGTTAAGCTCATCTTCAAAAATGCCTTGCATTCACCTTCACTTGCCACAAATCTCATCTCTGTAAGCACCTTAGACAAGGCTGGGTTGTCAACTGTATTCTCTGATGGCTGTGCAGTTGTCCAGAATAAGTCTGGTAAAGAGATCTTTGCTGGGCAAGGCTCAGATAGCATGTATGTGCTGAATGCTGCACCTAGCCCCCAAGCTATGGCATTCTGCTCATCTCTCACTTCACTGAGTACTTGGCACCATCGTTTTGTCCATATGAGCCCTGCAAAAATTGAGGAGATGACATCAAAAAGGCTGGTGGATAGCTTGGAAATTACCTCAGAATAATAACACTTGGACTGTGGTGACCCATCTTGAATCTGTATGGATGTCGGCTGCTGTTGCAGCAAAGCTCGATCTTGTTCTATGGCAAGTGGACTTTATTTCAGCATACTTGAATAGCAAGACAAAAAAAGACATCTATATGTGTCAGCCCCTAGAGTATATAGTCAAAGGACAAGAGGATAAGGTGTGCAAACTTGTCCATACTATTTATGGGACTATGCAGAGTGGCCATGATTGGTTCAAGATACTTAGGAAAACCTATGAAGATCTTAGATACCATACATCAAAGGTAGACCCATGTGTATGCACCATTGGTAAGCCTGGAGATGAGTATACCATCACAGATACTTACACTGACGATGTGTGAGGAGCATCATCAACTACAGAGAAGGCAAGCTGATGGAAGAAGGAATTAGAGGAGAAATAGGAGCTCACCGATATGGGGGAGAACCGTTACTTTCTAGGGATAAAGATTGAACAAGACCTTGAGGCTGGCACCATCACCTTCTCACAGCATCCATATTGGGAGAATGTATTTTTGGACTTCAACCTTGGATATGTATGATTATGGACCACCCCCCTACCTGTTGGAATCATACTCGACATGTCACAGTCTCTGAATACCCAAGCAGAGAAGGACACTATGGAAAGATTCCCATACCGATGACTGCTAGGCTGCATTATATGGGGACAGCTTGCAACTCGTCCCGACTTGTGCTTCTCTATGAGCCTGCTCACTTGCTTCCAGTCTAACCCAGGGATAGAGCACTGGAAAGCATTAATACATGTCCTTGGGTACATAAAGGAGACAATGGACCTTGGTATCTCCTTCTCGTGTGAGCAGCTATTAACACCTGTTGGATTTGTAGATGTGGACTATGGGGGTTGTAGGGACATGATTCATTTGACATCTGGCTATGTCTTCACCATAGTGGGTGGTCTGATTTGCTGGAGCTCAAAGTGTCAGGCTACCATCGCCCTGTCCACTGTCGAGGCTGAATACATTTCCCTTACTCATGCGGTGCAACAAATGATGTGGATATTGTCTTGGATGGATGAGGTCCAACTACCTCAGCCTCACCCCAGTGTATTGTATGGTGACAACCAGGGTGCTGTAGCATTAACAACAAACACACAGTCCCATCAGAAAGTCAAGCATATCCACATTCGAGAGCATTTCATTAGGGAGCTTGTGAAGGACAGTGAATTACGTGTCGAGTTTGTTCGAGGGAATGCAAACCCTGCAGATATGTTCACCAAGCCCTTGCCTCGTGATACGCACAATGGTTACCTCGAGATGCTCAACGTTACCCCAGTAGATTGAACGGATATGGGGGAGTGTTGGAGGATATCCGTACGTTTCATCTTATCTTACTTTTGATCACTCGCTCTATTTGCCTTATATATACTTACACCTCCTGTCATTTCCCGATCACCTATATAGTCCAGCCGTTCCTATCTGTATGCCTCAGTCGCTTCACCCACGTTGTGCCCGACTGAGATACTCACATATATTCTTCTGTCAATATTACTTGAACCTTGCATTGATATTGCATTCTATAATTGGTATAAACATCACACTCACTTCACGGCTATAATTATAACTCACTTGCAGTTTCCACACTGCAATATTCAGTCAATAAAGCACGACAGTTTCGGCAAAATAGCTTACACTTCAGTATAGCTTTCTGAAATCTTCGACGTAGAACTGCATGGGGGTTGCTTGATAGTTATCAATGTCATTGCCGAGCCTAGGCGTGGTACGTAAGTGAAGGTATACTTAAGATAATAGTCGGCTGATAGTGAAGGATTTTGATGACATTTTGATTCACGTAAATTAGTGGCACCTAGCCATGACTCAAATACGAACAGCTCATGAAGATACGGATAGATCATGGTCTCACTACCCAGAGTAAGTAACCTTGTCCAGTAAAGATTGCTTGCGACTCAGACTTACACAGCCATCCAGTTCCTTATTCTGGTGTCTGCATCTGTTGAGCAATACGCAGAAGTCTCCACATTGTCACTGGCATGTCGTCTAGCCAATTTCTCCCTAGCCTTAACGAGGAACAGAAAGAGAAAGGCAAGGAAGTAGCGCAGTGCTCGACAAAGCTTACTCCAGAGGACTTCACCTCAGGATCAACTTCCGATTGAATAGCTCTTGTTAAACGTGCTACGTCAATACATGACCTCTGAACTGAGCCTCCGTTAGCCTCAAGAGATATAGAAGCAACAAATTCATCAAGAGTGGTAGACACTGAAGGATATCCCGAAGGAAGGCAGGAAATGATGGCTCAGACGATGCGGCATCACGTTTCTGTGCGGCGTATTTCCTAAAGAGTAACTGCCACGTTCCGTACGTGTCTAGTACTTCAGCATGATAAGTAAGAGATAGTAGTACATCGTATTGATACTAATTTACAACATGGATCATCTATCGGTACAACACTGCCTATAAACATACATTCTTGGATCTAACCCGCTTGAGATTGCGATACAACTCTTGATCTACGCGAGAAGCTCATCGAAATCCGGTGCATGAATCTGCGGACCCTTCGAGGTCGTGGTTTGTTATTTATCGGAGCGATGCTATCCAGCGGAATAATCGGTGAAGACTTCTTCATGACTGGGATATGTCGTGGATTTTTCCTGCGAACTCTACCCTCTCCGCGAAGTCTCTGAATAGCGTCCTTGTTCTCGCGTTCATAATATTCGCAAGCGTCGAGAAGGAATTTCGCACCGAGGACAGTTGCACGATGAAGAACTAATATCCTCACTTAAGAGTTCATTCAAAGGATGAATAAGACGAAACTTACTATCACCAAAAGTTACAGGGTTAATAAAGCTCCCTCCGATGATTCTGGCTTGGGTAATTTCATTTAGTTCGGTGAAACCCCAATATTGCGACAGGTCTAGGACATCTAGGAGAACAGAAAGGCCGATATCATCAAGATCAGGCGCACTTCCAGTGTATATGAAGTCTAGAGATAGAAAATCAGAACTGTAATGTAGGGTAGAATAACAGTACATCCTTACCTAACACAGTCTTCAGACACTTTCCTGGATATTCTACGCCAACTTCGATCGGTTCATCTGCAGAAGCGGGACCGGCTTCAGTGAATTCTCCACAGAATAGGTCGCGTAGATATTCGCTCATCGGCGACAAAAAAGATCGGTGAGCTGCAAAGCGTTGACCATCCTCTGTGACAAACACAACATCAGTTAACTTGTCCTCCAGCCTCATCGTGTTGAATCCCTCTCTCAGTTTAGAGAACTGTGTCTCGACCGACGATAGGACGGGTTCAGGACGAGGAGGATCGTTTATACTCTCCACGCCAGATACGTATAAGAGGTCCCTGTAGAGTTCCAGGAATTTGTGAACAGTCTTGAATTCTCCGTTTTCGGTGATGTTGAAGAACATCTCGTCTGCAGAGTTCCACACCCAGACGTCGCTATTTGGATCGTCAACGTTCAAGAAAAGACGTTCTTGATGCAAATCGATCATCTCTTCCCCGACTTCATCTTGATGTTCATCGAGCCAATTGTAGGTAGCGTTCAGGTCGAACAGTAGATGCCTGTCAAAAGGATGATCTCTTGCTACTTCCAAAGCAAGCACGCGCAGATGTTGGATCTGTTATTTTTATCAAGTAAGAAAGTGTCGAAAACTAGAAAGACAACATACCACATCAGAATTGGTCGGTTTCCCAAGACTAGGATTTGCTAGGAGGACCCTTTCGGCGGGTCGAACCGTGCAGATAGCACGCCGAGTCCAGGCAATAGGCTCATACTCGGGCAGTATCATCTCATTTGGAGAGATCACCGGAGGCAAATGTTTGACATAAGGAGAAACTTCCGCAATCCCCATCAACTTCTGTCTGAGAGGCAGTCGAGGAATGAAACGGAGGTTATCCAGCTGTCGCCACGACTGATCTTCGCTGGCAGCAATACGAAGAGGCAGGTCTTCACAGTAAGCCTTGAAAACTAGTCTTGCTCGCTCGTCTCGGTCTCTACCGGAAACATCGTTGTTAATCGAGGTCGCACAAATCAAGAATGTAGCAATGTCTAGGTTGTTCGTGTTCTTTAGTCCAAAAGGCCCGAGCCGAGCTTCAAGGTCGATGAACTCTTCAAGAATGAAATGCACTTCAGACGACCCGAAAGCGGCAGTGAAGAGGGGAGCTCGTTCATACAACGTGTTTGACGGAACAAGTCGCCGAGTACCGTCGGGAAGGGGTATCTCCCGAATTGTGAAGGATTGGTCCGATATGAGGGCAGTGACCAGCCGCTTATAAGCAGGCGTATCGTCGGGACCAAGTTCTTTGGGAAGCTTAAGTTTTTTCCACAGATCATCCAAGGTCACTGGCAACACGCCCAGATGACGAAGACCTGGAAAAAACTCGACACAGGAAGAACTCATGAATGGATTGATGACATCATGAGGAAACTGGTAAGGAACCATGGCCATTTGCTCGTTCTTCGCAGCAAGGTACCGCTTGCCATCTTGCGAAGGAGAGGGCCAGATGGGGAGCGAGCGAGCGGCTTCGATAGATTCCGAAGAGCATTGAAAGATCTTGTCCCGGCACCATCCTGCGAACTCGGCGAGCATTTCATCGTCCAGTGTTCTGAATGGCGAAGTTTTGTTCGCAAATAGTTTGATGATTTGGTCGATACCGATGGGCAGCTGAGCCTGTATGACAGCGCGCACAGATGTAGGTAGTCTCTCATCGTTCCGTAGGACAACTGATAAGCCTAGTCTGTCTAAACAATCGGGGAGCCAATCAGGTTCTGTGATACCGACTGAGACAACATCGGGAAGGGTTTTGCATGCTTTCATGGAAACGTAATGTTCAGGACGGACGGTGGGAATTAATGGAAAATCTTGAGCGTCGACATCGGGATCCATGTTCAGGCTGGGATACTCTTTCCAATACTGCTCGATCCATGCATCGTCCGTGGTGCTCTTCGCATTGAATATATCGGCCTCCGTAATGAAGGGACGTATCAAGTCCACAACGTCCGAGGCATGAAGCTGTGAGACATTATAGTCCTTCCCCGTCAGTCGGCTGGCATCGAAATCTGGATGCACCAAGTCTCCTAGGTTGAAAAGGGTGTGCTTATCGGAAGCAACCTTCCATATATAATGTTTCTTCTTGTAGTCGGCTGGATGTAGAGGCACTAATGTCCCATTTGCCAAAGGCAGAAGAGGAAGATCCATTAAACTGACAAACGGCTCTTCCAACAAGTAGTCAAGAAGACTTTGGATGTCAGTTATCGTGAGCTTTCTTGTCTCAAATCCGGCAATCAAACTGAAACCACGCAAAGCGATCTCGTCTCTCAAGACCTCTTGATTGAACATTTTGATGTGTCCTGAGCAACGCTCGCGGATGATGGGAGGGAATGAGACATATCGGGGCAGGCGAAGAAGCTCGAGTACATGCGTCACCGAGGCAGGCTGGTTCCCGAGAATGACGGCATCTGAAGGCCACATACGAGTTGTCGGATTGAAATGGCTGGGACAAACCAGACACCGACAAGAAGGAAGGGCATCTGCGTAGAACCGTTCGACAAGAAGCCGAGTAACACTGTCCTGCTGTGTCGTATTACCCGGCCACCATATGTCATTATGCCCGAGCAATACCAGAAGGTTTTCAAGAAGTGTGAGATAGAGGGGCGGCGCTACAGTAGACAATATCCACCGATTGTATTGTGACTCAAGGTTGTCATAATCGTCAAATCGGATATGTCGTCTATCGGGTGTAAGGATGAATGACGCTGTGAGATGGCAGGGTAACGTGGAAGTCATGGGCAGCGGGAGCGTGGAGAAAAGATTGTGGCTACTAGGACTTCGTGCGGTAGTCCGTGCGGCAAGCCCTACGATGATAGGAGATCGCAAGCGATGGGGTTCCTTCAAAGGATTGAATTCGGGGGGCAAGCTCGTGGCAGGAAGGGACGTCGTCACCACCATCCAGCGCTCTTGCACTGGTTCGACCTTTGGGGATGCATATCCAATGATGTAACGATTACGAATAGAACAGTTGCCGTCGGATGTCGTCGGGGAATCCGCCTTCACTTCTACTTTCCAACTGCTAATGACGCGACCTGACTTGTGCCGATAGTATGTCGAGACACTTCTCATATTGGTAAACAACAGGGACTGCTGTGCCTGCTTCCAGTATGGCCGGACAATATAATCTCGAACATAGTCGGCAGTTTGCCCAACGTTCAAGATGGAGCAATCATTCAGATGAGAAGCATTTCGGAGTGGTAATCGAAAGAGGGTCTGACAAGAACGTGAGCTTTATTCGTGTCATAAAGGAATAATTTGTCTTACCCCGACATAAGAAGTGGTAGCTGATAACTTGAAGTCAAATAACCCGTCAAGCGCAGCGAGGTGGTCCGGGTACATCCTGATAAACAAAGTCAGGGGTAATATCAATCTCAACTGCAAGATGCAGACCGTTGCATTTGCTGAAGGGGCAGGAGCAGTGAAGCCCAATCATCAAGTGGAAGGTGCGTCTTGGACGGATCCAGAAACAGAACCTTATCGCCGGAGACAATCATTGCCAGCTACAAAGGAATATCAGCAATAATACTCATAGGGCACAAGGTTAACACCTACTTCCGTGAAATGGAACATAGAAAGAGCCCCCAAACCAAACTGTCCAATCGTACTTGTCTCACCTTCCTTCCCGCCCACTCCAGTTTTACAGATGCCTTCAAAATCCGCCTGCGTGAACATACTATTGTTGTAAACGATCAAGGATGAGCAGCGTTGGAATGGGGCCATAAGGGGTGAAAGCAAACGCTCGTACGGAGCATGACGATCATCAACCAAAATCTTGAACTCCGTGGCTCCTGCATCCGAAGCGTTTGCGAAGAACTCGGATAGCGTTTGCTGCTCAGTGTACTGCTTCAACACATTTCGAATGGTGGTCGTCAGCTTCTCGCCCATATCAATAGCCGGTTTCTTCAAGTGAAGGAATTTGAGGCCCAGTCTGCTCATATGGAGGCGCTTTGCTATCTGTTCATTCAACTGCGGATGTGCTAGTATTAAGTCTCCGGCCTCGATAAAGGCCCGATCACCTATGTCGTTGAAGTACACCTCACTAGCAGGACGAAGTTGTCCAAACATGTCAGGAACGAGAATCTTCGAACGTTCCTCTTCAGTCAGACTGAGTGGGAGAGCTTTCAGTATCAAAAGAGCCTAAGGAAATATTAAGCTGAGGTAGAACTGGGTGTGAGGAAATGTACGGTACCATCTGGTACGGTACCATCTGCGTTTTGTCTGGACTAGCCGGATATTTGTGCAGATTATTGAGCTCGGACACAAGAATATCAATCGAAGGCCCATAAATGAGTGTTAACGTTTTCCTCAGCTGTAGTAGGTAGAAACTTACCTCTCTGTACATCCCATCTTCAGCAGAAACTCACGGATTTCAGGACGGTCTGCTAAAGCCAGAGGGACTTCATGGAATCCTGCTAAGGGAAGCGGAAGGAAGAAAACTGCGTGACTGGTGGTAGTAATATAACGAGAGTTTATCGGAATCCATGCACGATTATCAGTGATCCCCTTCAAAGTCGTAAGATCTTCCTCCGAGAGCACCCTTCGACTAAGCTCCTTTATTATGACTCTAAGCTTCTTGTAGGCGCCATTCGTGCCGCGTGCACTGATAACCAGGCTAAACTGCTGGGTCAAGGTGGCAAACGACAGTGGTTTATCCCAACCCAGTGCTAGCCGGAGAGAATGGGAGACGTTTATAGTCTCATCGATCAAAGGATACACCTCGTCAAACAGTTCCGAGCGGTGCAGACCGTGATCCAAGCATTCTTCGTGACTCAACATCCCTCGGTTAGTCGGTAGCCACTTTGCATCCACGGGTATCTCCAACTGGGTGCAGTCAAATCCAGACGTAAATAAGAGGTCAACCAAGCGAATCGATAGCGTTTTGGCGTTCGTCAGATCAGAATCGCGTATCGAAGATATATGCTGTATTCTTTCAAGAATAATCTCCATTGTCAGAGTTCCTCGAAGTATCCCTAGGAGCCTTAGCTGCTTCAAAACGAAGCCTGCTGAGTCATCCATCGATTTCGGAACACGATCACCACTGTCCGTATACAGAGCCATCACCGGCGTCGTGGGATCAATTACATGCTCCGCTGACTGCAGGGAGCCGTCAATGACAGGTATAAACTTTGTTGTTTGGAGTATCTTCAACAAACGAGGAGGCAAGCTATCGCGTCGCTGAACCATATCCTCGAGGAACGCATGCTGAAGGAACTTTGACTGTTCGCCGAAATGTTCTAGAGCGAGGGCTATAATGTCTATGTCAGAAAGCGGCACGCTGTTCTCCGAATCAATGTGGGACAATATGGCAAGGTCGATGTCCGACCCGTCGAGGTAGATGACGTCACCAGCGAGTGGAAGCAGTGAGGATATCGAAACCGTGACCCCGTAAACGGTGGCACCATCAGGAATACAACCAACAGCCTTTGTCGTGTTCGTCCTCGGGACCTTCAGCGGGATACCCAAAAACCTGGGTGTCTTTTCGGGTTTGATAAGGCCTCTCGAAGGGACAAGGATCGGAAAGATCGGTAATGATCGCAACTTGCGCCTTTGGCTAACACTGAGGCGTTCTGTACGGCAGAAATCGAGGATAGCAGGGATTAAGAAGCCCAGGATGATGGTAGCTGTTTGTTTGTCTATGCCGATGCCAGCAGAGAATCGTGTACGGTCAAGGAGCGAGTGGACGTCTGCGTCTGGGAGTCGCAGAGTACCAGATAACTCCTTGAGGGCATTCTGAGCAACCACTGAGAATTTCGGGTGTAGAAATTTAATCTGCAGCAACTGAAGCGCAGACTGCGCCGACGCCTCCAAAGCTTCTCCGGAGAAGATCCCATCTCCAACAGGTTCTAGTGATCCATCCTTTGAGGGCAGAAGGTGGAACTGAGAAACCATTGGCAAAAGTTCTTCCTTCCTATTCCACTCTCCTAACCATTCCCAGAACTTCGATAACCACAGAATGGTGGTCTCGTCGGAGGATTTCTCGGCAGTCGAAAAATCTATACCATATGGAGACATTCGCAGATAACTCACAACATGCTCGGGACAAAGACGAGTCAGGTTGTAGCCGTCAGCGCCCTGTGAAAGCAGGAGCTCTCCAGCCGAGCTCGAAAGCCTGTCCAAAGGTATAGCTGAACGATCGAACCCTTGGAACGTATTGAAATCAGCCTTCTCTAGTAGGACGTGAATGTTTGGTGCGTTAAGTTGGAGAGTAGCATATTTTCCGCTGACTAATGGGATAATGGGAAGGCCAAGGATGAGCGCAAGACGCTTCATCGATATGAGGTACTCCAAAATGGCCAGGGAAGCGGTAGTATCCGAGGCGCCGAGCTGTTCCAGCTCAAATCTATGATACTGTAAAATATAAATCCTAGATGAATAACATGACAGCATAAGATAGAAGCGACTTACGAGTAACCCAGCATGTGCAATGTCCGGAGTTAATGCTGTATGATTGATATCCGCTTTCATGATATATTCAGGGGGCTGTATGATCTTCAGTCCTGCATCAACTAAGGCCTGCAGGGCCTTGACATCGATTGCACTGCCTGCGACGATGACAGACCGGAGATCCTGGAAGGCCGCAACTTCCGTATTCCAAGCTTTGCTCTTAGGGCTACGCAGTACGAGTGGCCAGACCAATGCGCCTGAAGATACAACGGCGGAGAGGAGATTGTGAGGTAGATCTTGCCAATACGTGCTATCACCCGTTTCCACGATCGGTTGAGCAGCCGGCCAAGCTCGGTAGATCTCGTTGAGCCCATCTTGTTTAATAAGTACAGGGAAAAGTGCAGCCCAAGCCTTAGGAAGGTACTTGTCAAAGAGTAACTGATTCCATTCGACAAGGACACTGTCATCGCTTCCACGAACAATTCCAATTTCCATCTTGTTGGTGAGATTCTGCCTCGACTGCGTCAGCGCGAAGAGTCCATGGACATGACATGGGAATCCGGTACGTATAGGGAGTGGGAGGTAGGTGAAAAGACGACCGGATGTCTGCTCGGCCGTCAGGATGGACATGGGGACAGCGAGTGATATCGACGGGACCAGCTTGTGTTTCGACAGCACAGGACGTGCGTTCCGTCCCAATCTATACGATATCAATGACGCCGGTTCGGCTTGATCAAATGAAGATTGAAGGATGCGCCAGATTATGGTATCATTCCGGGACGAAGACGTGATGTTGATGGTCTGTATCAAAGTAGTGTGGCTGCCATCCTTTTCCCACTGAGAAGGCAATCGCTTGGATGTGGACACGCCGGCGAGAAAGGTTCGAACTCCCTGTTCATCAATCTCGTGTATCTCGATCTTGGAGACGTGCTTGAGAAAGAGAAGTGAAACGCCGAGTTCCTCTTCAATGAAGTCACGAAAGAGAGTACGTATTTCTCCAGAAGTGACGACTTTGTTGCTGATGCTGCTCTGGGATTGAGGGGTACGAAGGGGAAGTCGAATTACAGAGCCCAGGAAGGGCGTTCGGGAGGCGCCTGGAGGTAGAAAGAAGTCGAAGCAGGTTAGGTGGTCAGCGTATGAGTCTCCGAGCTCGACAAAGTTGAATTTGGTCCCGCCGGACTCGCTGAAGTGGTGATGAGGATCCAGGACAGCAAGCGATGTACCAGAAAGGATTTGTGGGTGGTCCGTTATCTGAGGAAGGGTTGGAAAGTGAAAGGAAGTAAGAAAGGAACAACGTACGTGATAACAGGACCGAAATCCAATACCATACTTTCCAATCTTCCTGGGAGACGATAAGAAATCAAGGGACAACCTGAAATGAAAGGACTGACGTGTTATCGGCCTTCTTTGAAGACTTGTGGATACTTTGCAGCGCTTCCCAATCTTCCTGGGTGAAGAGAGCATCATTATACGCGAGAAGAGATGGTCCTTGGGTGCCGGCCAACTTGTCATGAAATAGGGCGCCAGTCGAATGCGTTCTTGAATCCAGTACAAAGATCTGTCGTTGCTGTTGAGTACTTGATAGTTAGAACGAATGCTGTACCGACCTGCTTCGAAGCCCTGGCATCATCAGAGTTCTGAATCAATTCTCGAAAGAGACCGATGGAGAAAGGGTATGTGCCAAGGATTGCTGCTATGGTGTCGGTGGGGAGAGCGTACTGAGAAAATATGGTGTAAGTGAAGGTCTAGTTTGATTTTTAAAGTGTCTGTACCTCGCCAAATGACTCTGCCATGGGTAAGAAGAGAAGGGAGGTGGTTGGCGCAATGGCCTGTTATCGTCACTCCTTTATTTTGATTCGGTGCCGGTCATGTTTCAGAGGTCAAGTGTAGATCCGTACCAATTTCCAGTTCCATTCCTATGCTGGAGGCGCTGAACAGGCTTGACGGCAAGCCCAATTTGGGCAACCTTCCGAAGGCCGCCACATGGCACAGGCTCTCTCAGCCTCTTACTGCCATGTCCGTCTATCCTGTTCTTCCTTCCAGGCCCCTATTGCCTCACATCCAAATGGTCTGCCGGAAGTGCAGCGCACATCTTGAATTTCCTGTCCCTACCCCTCAGCCACGACCAGGAATCCTTCTACAGATCCGATGTTTTTCATGTCAAACGATACTATCCTATGTATTCTACCCCACTCAAGCAGCCCTGAATACCCCGCCATCAACCACTAACTCTAGACCCTCATCTACCCAACCTTCCGCTAGGAAAGGCAGAAAAATTGGAACCCAGGAACGCCCGTTAGAAACCGGATATTATGATACATTGGGTGTCGCGGTGACTGCTACGACGGATGATATCAAGAAAGCTTATCGTGCGTCACCCTATTCCCCTTTAATGTGCCTAATCTTCTTCCAGGACGTCTTGCTATCAAGCATCATCCCGACAAGAACCCAGATGATCCTAATGCCGAGGAGCGTTTTAAACAAATTGCTATTGCCTATCAAACCCTTTCTGACGATCAAGTACGGCGTCTTTTTAAAATCTTACTCTTATTTGTCTGACGTTTTCCTCCAGTTGCGGAAAAAGTACAACGAGTTCGGTCCGAAGGAGAGTGCTCCAGAGGGAGGCTACGTCGACCCAGAAGAGGTGTTCGGCGCTATATTTGGCGGTGATCGCTTCACCCCGATTATTGGCCAAATCAGTCTGGCCAGAGATATGAAGACCGCGTTGCAGGAAGCAGAAGAAGCGGAAGGAAATGAATTAAAGGACTCCAAAGGGAGGCCAATATTGAGTGAGGAAGAAAAGGCGAAGAAGGAAGCGAGGGATAAAAAGAAGGCTTCAGAGGTGAGCCCTTTTATTGCTAACGATGGTCATTCTCAGTTTCTTCAATTCTAGAAAGCAGCACAGAGAGCGGAACGGGTCCAGAAGTTGGTCGAAAACCTGGAGCGCAAGTTGGCCATCTTCACAGAATCTGCTACTGGCCCCAATGACACCGATGTCACGCGAAGCTGGCGGACAATCTGCCAACTCGAGGCCGAAGAGCTCAAAGGAGAATCCTACGGCGTCGAGCTTCTTCAAGCTATCGGATTTGTTTATGCGTCCAAGGCAAAACATCATTTGGCAACCAATCAAACTTTTCTTGGCGTCGGTGGATGGCTGCATAATGTTCAAGGAAAATACCATGTATTCAGCGAGACGTGAGGCTCTTCCTTTCTCTGTCTCCCACTATTAATGATTTGTTGCTTTGCAGTGTATCTACGCTTCGCTCCGCGATAGAGCTCAAGACCGTCTTCGACCAAATACAAGCCGCCGAAAAGGCGGGAAATTTAAGCGTGGAAGAGAAGCGGAAGCTGGAGGAACAGGCCGCGGAGAAAGGGCTGCAGGCTCTGTTCAAGGTGATCACTCCCATGTCTTCCGATATTGTCCATCAATTCACTTAACTTGATAGGGCACGAAACTCGAAATTGAGTCGGTCCTTCGGGAAACATGTGATCGCGTCTTGGAAGATCCCAACATCTCACAGGACAAGGCGCAAATGCGTGCCGTTGCGATGCAGATCCTCGGAGAGGTGTATATGTCGGTGAGGAAGGAGAATGGACAAGGTCAGCTGGACGAGGGTGAGTACGTAAGGGTCGATACAAAAAGCAGTCGAGCCAGAGAAGGACGATGAGTCGGATGACAGACGATGTTGCATCTCGTATTCCATGCATACAATCATTGTAATTCTAGTCACGTCAGGCCCCAGGTAGTGTATAGTGTATAGTAGCATTCAGGTATCGTAGATTCAATATATCTTGTTGCGCACAGCTAAAGGTTTCTCTAGGCGAAACTTGGTAAATGCCCATCCTTCGACGTACAGTGTCTCACCGAGAAAAATGCAAGGCTTTCGATATCCGAGTCCTGCTTCTACCGATAGAACATGCGGTCCAAAAATACGGGTCTCCAGCTCTAACTGTGCCATGGAAGAGCAGCAACTCAATGAACGCGAGCTTTCACCGACATCCACGCGCATAACCCTGACTCTTCTGCAGCTATTTTTCCGGTGGACGGCTTGTGCTGTATCTTGCGGGCCGTGGTCGTTTGGACTTCTCTGGAGAAACGCATAAAAGATTCATGTCCAACTCAGACCCTTGCCGTTAAGCGAATATCAATGGTTATCTTTTCTTCTGTAATTCTTGCGGCTCTTTTTGGCTCCTTGCTCGCTCATGGAGTCGTTACTGACCCTTCACCACGAGTGGTAGGCTCTGCAATATTCGTCTGCGTCTTAATGGGCTTTGTAGGTCGGTGGTGCTAATCTAGCAGCTTGCGGCGCGGCTGTGTACAAGGTTCTCAAATCTGGTAAAGCACTCTTATTATGCGTTTTCTGTCTGACTGGTTAATTGGCGCTTTTAGACAAATACGGACCGGCATGGCAATCCGTCTGCCTCACTGCGCGCTGTTAACTCGTTTAAGTAGGTCGAAAATGCTGCTGCTAAGATCGACTCTGACTACAACGCTACTGCCTGTTACCTGTTCTTCTGCCGTGGCTACCAGGTAAGCCAATACCAATACCCATAGCGTTTCGAAGTTGACTGATTTGCATCCTTCCAGTACGAAGACAACGTAGACAGTACTCGAGTTTACGCCACTGGACAGGTTGTTCCTTTTGCGGTGGATATCGAGGCCCATCACACCGGATATGCGGTTGGTGTTTCCATGCCTTCCATCTAGGTCGTCTGTTCACAGTAATCCCAGAATGTTTCCGTAGTGAACTTGGCTACTCAAACGCCGATCGCACGCCTCTTTACGTGGGATGTGTATGCCAACGACTCGCTTGGTCCGTCCCAGTGGCCCAAGAACGAAAGTAAGTCTGATCGCTCATTCCCCCCCTGGACAGAAGATAATAACGATGTATAGGTTCCTTCAATGTCACTATCCCAGACCTAGGAGACACTTGCACCACTGCTAGCGCCTGCGCGATCCAGTGGTGGTGGTATGCGACAAAGAACGTCCAGACTTTTGAGAGTTGTGTTGATTTCGCCACCGCGTAGTTATTTTTCCCGTTATGCACCCTCACATTTTCACTCGGTACGTCGTACAAATATTGTTTCAGCAGTCACCCGCTAGTCATTGGGTCTAGCAATTGAGAACATAGGTCGACAGAAGTTCGTATCCTAGGTACCACCGTACCTACATCTCAGAGAGGAACAATATGAGGCAGTCATAAAAATTCATTTCAACGTTGTTTCAACGTGTTCGGAGATATAACACCCGCACGTGCCCTTGTTCTAATATCTTCTATGCCTGTCCTTTTCTTCCTTTGCTATGTCTGGCATTCTCGACGAATCTGTTACTTCTATATTTCTTGAGGCTAACGGAGGCTCAGTCCAGAGGTCATGTATCGACGTGGAATGTCCCATAAGAGCCATTCAATCGGAAGTTGATCCCGAGGTGAAGTCCTTTGGAGTAGACTTTGTCAAGCAGTGCGCTACTTCCTTGCCTTTTTCTTCTTGACCTCGTATAGTGGATTTTAAAATGACTAGGGAAGAAACTGGCTGGGCGACATGATAATGAGCAGACGTCTGCGTATCGCCAGCTGATGCAAACACCACAATAAGGAACTGGATGGCTGCGTAAGTCACACGGAAATCTTCTACGAACAAGGTCACTTACTCCGCGTAGTGAGACCAACATTTATGTTCGTACTTGAGTGGTTGCGTCATCTTGTGTCTTGAACCATAGTGTGCTATAGAATTCGGCCATATCCTGCTGCCATGGCGATCAAATTATTCCCTGATGTGAGAAGGAAGAAGGGGGAGGAACGGAAATATCCATTCCTGAGCCCTTAACACGATTAAGAGCGAGCACATTCATATGCACACATTATTATCGCGTGTGTCAGGGGAGATTGGATACCCCGGACCGCTCCAAGCCTTGAAGTCGATGTTGATGCATTCAACCCCAGTGAGTGTCACTCAATGGATAATCAGTGTACGGTGTCGTTACATGCATAATAACTTTTTTTTCCAGAATCCTTAGCCGGTCTTGAAAAGGTAATTGGGATAGGGTCTCTCGGATACGTTTTTGCTAACCTTTATGCCCCAACGACCACTGTTATCTCAGTTAAAGGCATCTTTGACCGTACGACACTCGAAGTTTCACAAAGAGAGCTCCATATAATCCTAGGTCATTCTCACCCGAACCTCGTTCGTGTCTTTTGTAAGTTTGACTTTGGAAAGCCATTAGTATACACTAACAGCATTCCCAGACTATCGTCACTTCAAGGGGCCGAACCAATTCAGACTTTATATGGAATATGTAACTGGAGGCACTATTGAGGCTCTCGCTCTATCCCTTGGACCTCTTCCTGAGATGGAGGTGGCTGCAGTGACAGACCAAGTTCTCCAAGGGCTCGATTTCCTCCACTCGAAATCCATTGTCCACCTGGATATCAAAGGGACCAACCTTCCCATATCTCTAGAAGGTTGCGTGAAAATTTGTGAACTCGGATCTGCCCGGCCGCTAGAGAATAGCTACCTATATTCATGTTTTTGTGTTTTACTTGCTCACGCTTGACGTTGAACATTCGACCAGACATCTCGGACATGCGCTTTGTTGGGTGGCCTCCGAAGTTATCGAGCAGAATGGACATGATATTCGTGCGGATGTGTGGAGTCTTGGGATGGTCATACTGGAGATGCTGTCAGGCGGCCATCCGTGGACGAAGGTGAAAAGGCGCATGCTTGACAATGTGCACGTTGTATGTATGTTACTGCCAAATTTCCTCATGCTGACGATATCATACTTAGATTATGGCATTGGAAATTCCCCAGCTATCCGATGATATACGAGATTCTCCGGAGCTAAATGTTCTGCTGAAGCGAATATTCGTACCTGCTAAAGATAGGTCTTACTCGTGGGACATTATTAAGGATCCTTGGTTAGTGGTCATGGCGATGGGGGCTCGTAAACACGTAGCGCACTAAAAGGCATGCTCCTCATTGAATTTCTTGTAGACCAATGCTATGTCTTACTCAAACACTCTGGATGATCGTGACATCGCCATCCTTTCTACCGCGAATAGAAGTTCAGGTGCGTTGTTCATGGAAGACGTGGATCGCCTTAGTGCCGCTATCTCTGCTGAAAGTGACGCTCAGCTGAAGTCCGATGGGAATGACTTTTGCAGGGTGTTGCGTTATCGCTCGTTCGCAACTGATTTCACAACTCGTTGACTGATTACAGGAAAACCTACTTACCAGTCAGAAGAGGTCAGCCACATTTATCAGTCTGTCTCATTCCTTTCGATGCCGTAGTGTCTCTTCTAGAATGAGTTGGTCATTCACGTAAATACTTGCAATACAATTCCCCAGTTTGTACAATGGGCTCACTTAACTGATGCGAGGCCATCATTCATGGTGACCTCTCCCACCAATGGGTGTTCGGAGGTGTTCAGCTGTCATTGTTTTCAATTGATTTGTGAACAGACGGCGATACAGTAATAGAAAGGCAACCGCCAAATTTTGCATCATAATTATGCGCTGACTTATCGATTGTGGCCGGTATCCAGCAGAACAAATTATTCGACTCTTGATTTCAGTCAGAGGCCACTGACATTCAGTTACAATCCGATCTCACTCTTCGGTGACGGCGAAATGTCCTGCATGGCTTACCTGCGACGACAACAGGAGGGTTCAGTATGTGTCGGCAAGTAATTGTCGGCGATTTTGCGCACAACCGACTCGATGCACATTTACGAGAATTCATCTTCAAGGCGGGTATGAGGAGTGTGAGGTGACCGAAAGCACCTTTAATGAAGGATGCAAATTAATTTCCGCGGTGTAGTGGTGCTAGAGAGTCCAACAAAGATTCTTTGCGACTTCGTACTAGGAGTTGCCAGTGAATTGATATCAGTAGTCCTCAACGTTGAATCAGCTCCAGATCTGGCTAGTCCGACAATATATTGGCGACGAAGGGAAGTTGGTCGAGTCGCGGTGCTTAATATCTAATTAATTACAGGGTCATTGACGAACTGACTCCGAATTCTACGTCCTTCTTCCTTCTCGGCGAAAATTTCCTCGTGAACTCTCAGTAAACTTCGCACCTTCTTTCTTTTGGAATGCAATGGCATCATCCACGCGGAACGTAAACAACGCTTTGGTCTGGAAAGGAAAAATTCGCCAATTAATGCAAGCTTGAAGTGAATAATGTCGATCTGATTTGCTACAATCGGTCCGTGAACAGCTGATCTTTGCAGCGTGTACATGCAAAGACCTTCGTTGAAATCTGAATACCGTGTTGCCTCTGGATGGCCTTGGCTCATCGCAGAACTTTACATTTTTCACCTTCTCTCTGCTTGGCTGTTCCCAGAACCGGTTAGGCCATGCATCTACTCCTCGGTCCTCTGAGCCCTCCTTCTCTGCGGTCAATGAAGATCGTCGGTATAGAAGTCTTCATTCTGACTCACTTCCATCGCATATAATTTTTTCTTCTCAATATCAATCCAAGCACACGCGTTGACGGGCTCTTGAGCCACTCAATGTTGAACTGGCAATTTCATTTATTTTACGGTTTCCTATGCGTTGTCTTTGAACGGACAAGTTAGCGAAGTGACCGCCACGCCGCACACCACAGTTACGTGCTTCCATTCACTATGAAGACGAAATGCCGGTGAAAGGTAAATAAAATGGCGTATATGTATCTATTGTCAGGTGCTACGTCGGTGATAATTCGTGGGTCCATCCAATTATCTACCGACGCTTCTCTGCTAGGACACTAAGTAGCGCCTAGACGCCTCCAGTATGACACGAAGAGCGTAGATCCCGAGAGCCGGAGGAAGGTGAATTGTTTCCCCAGTCCGTATCCACATGAAATGGGCTGGATTAGCACTATAAAAGGCCTTGCGAAACTCTACGAACCTCAGTAATCCAGCTATTGTACTGTCTAGTTCCTTCTCTAGTACCCACAATGTTTCCTCGTGCTTTCGCCGCTGCCGTTGTCATGCTCGCCACCCTCGCATCCATCGCCATGGTAAGCACTGCCATGACTTGTGCCTCCTACAATACTCATCGGTAATAGGCCGCTCCAACCACCGCCACCTACACTGGTGGCCAGTGCAACACCGGTAGCATGCAATGCTGCAACCAGGCTGGGCCCGTTCGTACTTGTCGAACAGCATCGTGCAAAACCTCATTAATATACACAGGCGAACAAACTCCCTCTCGATAGTACTGTGGCTGGGATTCTCAGTATCATTCTCCCAAGCTTAAGCGTCCCCGTGTAAGTTGCAGCCATCACTTAAACGTTCTACTACAGGAAAGTAACAGAGGATTTCTTCTAGTGGTATCAGCTGCACCCCCATTTCGGTTATTGGGGCTGGTGGAAATTCTTGCACCGAGCAGACAGTTTGTTGCGAAAACAACAACTTTGTAAGTTGAAATGTCCTTGGCCTTATCATGGTTGGCTCAAGCATTTTCTAGAACGGTGTCATCGCCATTGGATGCACTCCCATTAACCTCAACCTTTGACCGTTGGTCTAGATCGGTTTGATGCTTATTTAGATGATCATGTTTGTAAATTGATAAAACTTGTTTTGCTCTCGTCTGCTATTTTCCATTGAAATTCTTGAACTGAACCCTTGATTGCCTGAATGACTCCGGTTCGCTGGGTACTAATATTTGAATCATTGAAAAATGGTTACCAATTCACGTAATCTACTGCTCAGCGCTTTTTGACCCATAACTTCGAGCTTGCATGGCGAGCGGGCATCGGCCCGAGGAGGGACGTCATCATCACGTGTCGGCGCACCTGAGTCCAAGTTGTGGACTTGCCTCTCTCGACATTAATGACGCCCTTTCCACAATGTCTACTCGACCAAGACGTACGATCAGAAGTGCTGCGAGCTCCAAGATACCCCAGTATGCAGCAGCAGCCTTACAGCCGTCTCACGACGGGCCCAACATGCAATACTTGTTGAAGAATCCACGGAGCGCGTTGACAAAGATGGATATTTCGGTACGTACCTCTTCTGCAGCTTTTACATCGTTACTGGATTTCTTGAACAGTTCCCGATAGACAATCTTCAACATCGACACTTGGTCTTCGCTCTCTGAGGACTCGCGAGCCGTTTTGTCGACCTTGCTTCCACCAACGGCGTTCCTTGGATACCAGCACTCTATTGATCCTAGCCACCCAAGCAAGGAAGCGCCTTCATTACCACCATCGTCGTCGTCAGGAACGCTCGACACCTCCATTTTCACAGACTCGCACTTCCTTTCCGCTGCACACACCTTCCAGGATCACATATTCTCTGGATGGACCACCGATAGCCATATTTCAAAAGTGGAGAAATATAAACAAGGTATACGTGACGGTACGCTTTCAGCACCATACAAAGACGAAGAGTGGGCAAAGCAAAACAGAAACGATGCCCAATGGTTGACGTTTCCTGAATCGTCTGCTCGTGCAGGGTATGTTCCTTTTCAGTTGCAAACAATTATATTAATTTTATATTGCGCAGGCAAGCCGCCGAGGTGAGATTTACGGACCTCATCCACAATGCCATCATCCAAGTTGGGGACCTCATCTCGTATAAACGAAACTTCACGAATGGCAACATAATCATCGAGAAAGATGCTCTTGTTCGTCCTCTTTTTTCTTTCTTTGACATATTTACTTATGGCGTATCTCTCATCAGGTACAGTCGGTGGACCGTAGAACAAGAAGTGTGACGTTGCTGCTCCCTAGCAGTACAACGCAACATCTTCCCGCCGCATTGCTGGCACCCGTACCAGGTGACCCGGATGACTCCATACGAAGTATGACAGTCATGTCTCCGTCTATGCTGGAGACCGGCCTTTTGGATATCGATGGACGGGTTGAGCGAGGAAAGCGGCCCAATGGGAATGCGTGGAAGTCTTTTACTCTGTGGCGGTGGAAAGACAGTGACGAAGAGCTATTCGACCTAGATGAAAGAGGCGGGAGGGAGAGTCATGGTACTCTTTTTTATATTCGTGGCTGCTTTTATCATGACCGATGAATATACAATATGATATGCATCCTATGTCTCTAGCACAGTTGGAATTACAATGCTTCTCTACCCATCCTGTGGATTGCTATAATGGAAGCCCGGGAAGAATCATACTTTTTTCCAGTGCTACTACTACTTTACAATCGTTCCAGCCAAAAGTCGGTGGAAGGATATCGACATGTAAATTACCCTAATTTTTGGTTGAACATGACGAGGACCCTGTGAAGAAATTGAAATGACTAGTCCGCTCATAAGTTCAGGCATTTATTTCCGTAATAAAGTATCACTATTATACAACACTATAGATCCACTACGCATACTTCGCAGTATACTGAGCAAACGGCTTCGCTCGTCTATTCACCCTCGACTCTCCCGTCGGTTTAATCGGACTATGATCAATCACCTCCTCGACCCATCCCTCATTCTCGCACTCATCAAATCCAACAGTCTCGATACCCGCTTTATACTGTCATTGGAAGCGATGGTATAAAGAAGGTTCCTCGGGACTGAGGTCGAAAGCCGAGTCTGCTGGTGGTTATAGAGGTGTGGGAAGGTGCTCTCCCACTGTCCCTAGATTCAGACGCTCCCAAATCTCTTGGGCGAGTAGCCGTAAAGGTCCCTACTTGGGTGCAGGGGACGCATTTAGAAGTAACCCAATCTGCAACATATTTCTCGAAGAATGAGAGAATGGCCTCGAGTTTGTCTGGTGTCAGGCATCTGGCAATGGGACCGGCGGTGCAATGACATGCGAGAGTGCATTCCTTGACAGAGTAGAAGAGTTTGTGTAATGGATAGCATGCACCTAAATCTCCGTGAAATGTGGGAACGTGATGAGGTGGAGTTAGGGTTTCTCCCGAACTGTCATGGCCAATGTCCGGCCCTCCACACTCGAAGCACTGACCCGTTTACAATGCTCAATATTCCAAACGACATACAACCCGACGCGGGTCCGTACCGGTGCCAAATATCTCCGTGCTCGTCTCCGGGGCCCTTCTATGGTCAAATATTATCCCCTCGCGCTTAACATCTCTGCGATTGCCCGTCGATACCCAGCGTTAGAGATTGTGGATGAGAAAGAACAGCAGAGGTTCCAAGATATTATCGATAGGAAGAAGAGAGGGAAAGGCGCCCCGAAAAAGCTGAAAAAGAATGGTGCTTTTATTCTCTTCCTTATTCTTCGTCATCTTTTTAACCGATAGTCCAGAGGACGGCAAAAGAGCCCAGAAAAAACGGTAGAATCCCGGTCACAAATTACATGTGTCGTTTACCTATGGCAGAGATCACAAGTTTATTCCCGTTGAACCCCATCTCTTCATCGTCTGTTCGAACCTTCTCGCCGATCTGGAGGACGCTTCCAATGCGACCTGTCTTTACACATTTGCTGTCTTCCAGTGATGATAAGTGGAAAGTTGGAACTGTGACTCTAAGTCTCGGGAGTTGCATAGCAAATTACATTCAGAACATTAGCGAATCAAACGGTACTATGCGAGTCATCGAGACATTATTCTTCACTTGTAGACATATAAAGGTGCTTCTAGACCTCTTAGGACTCTTCCATTACTTACCGCTCCGTTCGACCACGCATCAGAGTCGAGGTATATTGTTGAACCATGTGGTCCATCGTTCCATGGACAAATCGGGGAAAGAATATCCTTCTCCAGAACGATGGTAACTATGGCAAGGTGCAGCTTATATCTATGCCGCGTACCTCAGTTTTGTGTTGTGAGTTAAAGGAATACTGATATTTACTGCTCAAGCCTGAAATATTGCAAACAGATGCAGAACTAGATGTTCCGAGTCAAGTATTGATCCCGTGTTGCAAAAAGGCGTCGAGGCAAATAGTCCCCACTCAGCTGCGGGAGTTACTCAAGAAATGCTGACGTCGTTGTCCACGAGGTGGCTTGCAAAACGTTGCAGGGCTGGCACAAGCGTTAAAAGGACCGGTACTCCGTATGAGAGGACAACGCATTCTTCGTTTTCTCTATTCCATGCTCACTTTCTCTCCTTGTGTATATTGAAGCAGAATCGAGAGCGAAATTTTTTGCTTAATTGTTGCAGCAGGATTCTTCAGATGATGGTAAGTCGTGCTTCATCCCTCGTCTCCTCAGCTACTTTTACTTCCCTTGCAGGCATCCTCTGTATTTTTCACATCCCACTCTTACACCGCGTGCGCGACTTTGCTCGTCTACGACCTGCTCCTTCTGTTCCCCACTGAGATTAATTATGTATGGCTTCCTCGACCCACACATCCTCATCTGCTGCTGTTCGCATTGAACCGCTACTCACCCTTGGTCGATATGGCGCTGACCATCAATTGGCTCTTGCATAAGTCCACTCCCGCTGACTGTCACCGGTTTTACATCATTGTAAGCCCATTCGCGCTTACTGGGATTTTCATATCGCAGGTAATCCTCATGATCCGCACGTATGCGATATGGGATAGGCGCAGGGCGATATTCTGGTGTTTTATCGGGATTGGGATCTTCTGTTTCATACCGACGGTCATTTGCATGGCCATGGAACTCAAGACGGCTCAATGTGGGTTGCTTGTCATCCGAAGCCTGCGGGGGGCTTAACACTTTTTGATTCACAGTCGTCGCTTTGCCCAACCACCCTGACTGCTTGAATGTGTCTCCTCCATACCTCCTGGCAGTGGCATTTATCTTTATGCTCGTTATAGATACGATCATTGCTTTGCTCACGCTCTTCAAAGGCGTAGAGCACCTTCGGCGGTCAAACCACCCTTTCCTTACGGAATTCTACGCCTCTGGGATGCTCTTCTACATATGCATCTTCATCATATCCCTCGCCAATATCCTTGTCCCCATGTGGGCCCCGGATCTCATAGGTTTCCTCAGTGGCTTCCAGCGCATCTTCCATTCAATTCTGTGCAACCGTGTCATGTTGCTCATCCTCAAGCAGAGACAGCGCTCTCCTACAGAGGATCCATACACGGGCGACGTTGGACTGTCTGACACCGCGCAGTAGGTTATACCCAAGCATGTCTCTTTATGGCATTACTGTGCATAAAATATCCACCAGCTCAGGTTGAACACAGTAAGAGACCCATGCGTTTCTAATACCAAAAACAAGCGTTTCGGTTTCAGGATGAGTACTTCATAGAAGAGGTAATATTATTAAATAGCACCTCTGATAGGTCATGCTCTCTCGATGGCCTTCTAGGTTACTTTGCCTTGAGGTAAAGAGTCTCTCGGTAGACTGGTGCCGTCTCGTCCTTTTTGCCACTACCTCAATACCTTCTCTTGAGATCTGACCGTCTACTAGCGTCCCAGCAACGAGGCGGCTCGTAGTCTCGCACAAAATTAGGTGTTGTTCAGATCCTTGAAGACCGATAAGCTAGACTGGATAGCTTGGTTGTGTGTCAACTATCCCATCCACAGCCGCAGTGAGATATAAAGAGTTTTATCTCTCTCGATATGGCACTGTGGATGCCGCTAAATCTGCCATTGAAGAGTTCCGCAGCAAAATTGTCAAGCCTGCAGAAAAAACGTATCGGCGTGCGCTCTTTTTATGATGCCTTTTGCTCTGATCACTTCCTATACTTGATGACTCCGTCCTTGCCCCGTTGAGGATCTTCAGTAGGGTGATGGTACTGACTTGGATGTCTGCTGACAACTTTCTTAGAAGTGTTGAGTCCTGACTTAGCCTGTATCCACTACGAATCATTCTTATTGTTCTGGCATTTAGTCTTTCTGTGGTTAAATAGATTTTTTTTTCAATGATACCTCTTCCAAATGTTCACTCAGGCTTGACCAAATATACCACGACACCACATCCCTCTTGCAACCCCTGGACACGAGTTGAAGCTGTCTTCTCGAAACTTCTGTGAAACCAAACACTAAGGCTGCTTGTTGACGTTCTGGGATTTTCTTGTGGAGGCACTCCTGCTAATGGTTTCTCGGTAGTACCGTTAAGTTGGTTGTTTATCCCTATATAAAGTTCTCCATAACGTTCACAGTCGTGTAATTGATACGCCACTGGTATACAGGCACATTCACTACTACAACTGTGAGAAATGGTAGGAATATTATGGCTGGTGCGAAGCAGCAGGAGGATTTGAAGAAGTATGTTTAGAACTCCATAGAAAACGCAAGGGAAAGGGTTTTTCATAGGGCCGTGTTATTGGTTTAGGCCCACTGGCTTTCAGGACCAAAGCGACGAATGTATGACGAGTCTCATACGAACCTCTTACCGCGGATACCAATAAAAAGTGGGCTGAAATTCGGATGTCTCGGAGTTGTTGACTCTTGGAGGATGAAATGTAGATACGCACGAAATCCTGGCCGGGGGGAGCTATACGCCTGGTGCCGCGGCGATATATTACACTAAATCAATCATTCGAGTCCACTATGCTGAGGCGAGACGAACGTACGTAGGAAGAAGCTTGTGGGCCATCATGCTCCTTCACTTCGTTTTCACCGAGCGTGAGAGCGATATACATATGATCTAATGGTTTTTAGGATAATTTGAACTTGAAACGCGTAGGCCCTGGGCAGTTGGTGGTCGGAAGGCGGGCCGAGTTCCGCGACTGAAACCACTACGAGCCTCTTGCTTGTCTCGTCTTGAAAGGAAAACCTTGGATATTTGACCTCGCTGGCTCTCAGTGTCGACATTTATGATGATGATGCCAGGAAATGTCAAGCTGGGGGCTTCATCGCTTCCTTTGCCTTACCTGCGCGCACTGAACCCGCTTGGCTTTGTCTGTATACTGGATACATGCTCAGTATTAGCTTTATGGTAATAGTGTTACATTTACATATCTTGTCGTGTACTTGACATCGCCCAAGAATGGTCTGCATCTCGCACGGGCAAAGCACGGCCGAGACAAAGAAGGAAGAGTAATGGCCATGTGGTTATGTATCAGCGCTTGATCTATACAGGCAGTTCATTAACTTGCCCCTCTTTCTTCCTCTTATCATCCCCCCCGGTCCGTCCAATTGTTATCGATTCTCCTCACCTCCACCACCACTTCGAATAGAATAAATAATGGCAACAGCACCCGTCTCACCACCCCAGCCATCGACCAACCGGTCCCACATGAACCCTGTACCCCCCTCCGTCTTCACCCTGCCTCAAACGGCGCAATTGGAGGCTCTGTACACCATCATCAGGGACAAAGACACGTCCAGGGGTGATTTCCTCTTCTACTCTGACAGGATCATCAGGCTGCTCGTCGAGGAGGGGTTGAACCATTTGCCTGTCGTGAAACACACTATTACGACCCCGACGGTGAGTCTTCTGCATGGTATATGTAGAGGACCACAGCGTGGATGTGTCTCGTCTCATTCTCTAACTGACTGGTATCACGTCTAGGGCACGACATACGAAGGTGTCCGTTTTGAAGGCAAGATATGTGGTGTATCTATCTTACGGGCTGGTGAGGTGACGGATCCGTGTCAATGGAATCACCACATATCCTGATTTCGTGATCTCAGGCCATGGAAGCAGGCCTTCGGGAGGTTTGCAGGAGTGTTCGAATCGGAAAGATATTGATACAGCGGGTGAGTTGTGCATAGACTACGGTATGATAAGATATTCATCGCGCCAAAGGACGAGGAGACGACGCTTCCTAAACTATTCTACTCCAAGGTGACGACCGTTTTTCTCAGGTTCACGCGAACAGGCTGATCAAGACCGTGTGTAGTTCCCTCAAGATATTGCTGCTCGTTACGTTCTCCTTCTGGATCCCATGCTCGCGACTGGTGGTTCAGCAATGAAGGCGGTCGAGGTCCTCATCGAGCACGGCGTTCCCGAGGAGCGAATCATTTTCATCAATCTTGTACGAGCCCGTCCGCTCCTTGTCGCGTCCAATCGCTGACATATTCGTTCATAGATCGCCTCTCCTGAAGGCCTCCAAACATTTTGCGGAAAATATCCAAAACTGAAAGTGGTAAGCATCTTCCTCCGGCCGGCCGATTCAGGTCATGCATCACTAACTGCTTTGCCAAGATTACGGGCTGGATCGACCAGGGCTTGAATGAAAAGGCGTACATCATCCCAGGGCTTGGCGACTTTGGTGAAAGAAGGTGCCTATTGTCCTTATTTCTGGTTCTTCCATTTGATGACAATGCCTTTCCTCTTCCAGGTATTGCGAATAGAGGATTTGCTTTTGATTATGCTCATAGTTGTTGCTGTAAACATTTCACCTTCTTCTCATGAGTGCATGTTTACTTCTCGTCACCGAGATGGTCAGACAAAAAACTGAAGTACAGAATGTTAAATACGAGGCTCCTCGCAGTTGTATCTCCTTCTTTCCCTGCTTCTATCACCTTTTTCACCTGAGCATCACTTTATCATGTTCAGGCGGTATTTTTGAATATTGGTGGCCTCGCGTGGTATCGCATGTTCAATCCCGAATGCATTTCAACAGTTGCATCACAAATTATGTCAGTTCTATAAGCCCTGAGGCGCATACAAATTGCGTTACTTCTTTGCAAGCAATCCTGACAAAAGGCCTTCGTCCTTCAGGAATTTCAGATACTTGACGAAGAATGGCTCGTAATCGTGTATTCGCTTTACATGATCGGTCTGCAGAGAGAATTCAGGGAAGAACAAGGAAGCTGGTAGACGAAAAAGAAACCTACGTGGTCTCTCCACGCTTTCGCCATTTCCTCACCTACAGCTACCTTGGCTTTCATAGCGTTGTTGACGCATTGCTCCCACGCGTGACGTAGAGCATCCTGGTCCATATACAATATATCCCGATCCCTGTCATTGCGTCTACTGGCGAAATCAGAAGCAAATTTTTGTCCGCCTCCGCCATCAAACACGTTGGAAGCAGCAGAGAGAAGGGATGGATCAACCTATTCACGTTATCAATGTGCAGAGAACGTGATACGAATATAAACGACAACTGACCGCCTTCTGCCAGCCTTCCTCTAGACGCCGCTCGAGTTGCCGCCGCTCTGACTTGCAATACTCCCACTCGTCGCTTGCTTTTTCATATGCGTCATCTACAATAGCCAGGAGACTGAACCGAATATCATTGCCTCCATCGTCACCTCCCCCGCCGTATTTACGCATCTTCATCCTGAGTGCCGGCCGGACGACGTCCATCCACTCCGTTTTCTCCGTCACGTCGCCGACCTCCAAGGGTCCTGACTTGAGCCCATCAAGTTCCCAGACTTTGCAGTACGCGGGGACGTAGCCGATGAAATGGTAGGTTTCCTCGTCACCTTGTTCGGGATTCTTGGTTGGGGGATTCTTGGTCTTGGCGCGTTTGTTCGGGGGAGGGTTAGAACCACGGTTCGTTTTCTCCTTCTCCTTTTTTACACTATCGAGGATGGTTGTGGCCAAGGCGCTGTCGGCGCCTCGGAGGTCGGCTGGTCTGGTGTCATTAAATCTACGACTACATACAAGCGATTCAGAGAAACGTACCGAGCAAGAGAATTATGTGCATTTCGGATCAGAGAAGAATTTGATATCGCGAGTCCTTTCATCTAGAACATCTTCTGAATGGGTGACGAGGGGCAGAGGCGCACAAACTCACCTCGGGAGACATTTCCCTTGTGTATTCTTTGAAGTCGCTCAGGTCCTTTCCAATATTGACGTTTGAGCAGTTGAAAAGGATGTTAAGAATGGCTTGAGAAGCGCAAGCATCGTCACTGAGCTGGTTCGCAAACCATACATGCTCAGCTGCTGGATCCTTAAATTCGGCAGGACGATGTGTGTCCTTTCGCCATCGAAAGCAGAATACCAAGCCGTAAGGGTGGAGATGGTCGACGGCCCAAGGTTCTATATCGTATAGTTCGACGATTTCGAGGTGCTTGACTCCCAGTTTACGCGTCAAGGTTGTGAAAACGCCTGCGTAGACATGAGTAAGGATGGAGCTGATGGAGCTGAAGGGCTCGCCTGGGTCGGATTCGATGACAGCAAATGGTCCACCGACAAGATCTATTGACAATTTCTGGCCGTTGAGGTCGTCGTTTGTAGCAGTTTCGGGGGGGACAGAATCCAGTCGGACATTGGACGTGGAAGCCATGCAATAAGAACGTAGTAAGCAAACTTTGGTGTTTAGTCGGCGTTCGGACCGGTAAACCGAAGACTCGTCTCTTAACTCTCATGGCCTTCAAATGGATCCGACGAGATTGCGAGTCGGGAACGTGAGCAAATTTTAGTGCCCTGGATTCCAACTGACCTTAATATTCCAACGTTTTGGTTCGTTTCACTATAGTGCCTCCGGCGTATCTGCTGATGGCTATTCGTTTGCTTTAAACGCGACGTCTAGCACTGAGTACTCAAGAATGTTTCGGACTGTCATGAAACTGCAGAGCTTTCTGGCCCATCATCGCCCATTGACCGGCTGGTCTCATTCAGTCTTGGATATTGTCTGTTTTTGGCCACCAGACGCGGTGCTCACCCCGCTTTGCTCGCAGGATACGGGTCGTCTACTTCCACGACGGGCAAGCTCGACCGAGACGCGTGATATTGCATGTGGCTAGGAACCAACAGCGCCGTTCAGTATGAGCGTCTTCCTATAAAACATTCGTGTCGTCTTCGGAACTAACCATCATCCCACTATGATCAAGTTAGCTATAGGGCTTGTGCTTTTTGGCGCGTCATTAGTATCTGCTGCCGTCCTACCTCACATCGATGTACGCGCAGAACTCCCTTCTCCCGAGTGCGTAAACGCCATCAAACAGATAGGACTGTATCATGAGGCGTACGATGCCTCGTGTACACAATTGGTGAGCTTTGATTTGGACATCGGGGAATTATATGGCACGTACTTAACCGTATACCATCTAGGTCTATGACTGTCTCGCACAAGTCAATGGAACTGAAGGTGAAACTGCTGATCTCTGGAGCGTGACGAGCTGCACTACTGCTGCGACCTGCCAAGGCGTAAGTCCTTTTCAGTCATTCTTTGGGACGCCCCAGTTACATTGAGCTTACACAGACCTATTGGACGGTATTTTTGGCGCAATGCTGGAACTCTGACGTCGACGATGCAAGTGATCTTCCACACTTGAATTACAATGTGAGTCATATAATATAGTACATGACCTGGTAAAATTACACTCTTACACGTTGATCAGATATACGCGAACATTGTTGGCGACTGCGCCTGGCAAGAAGGCGGATGTTCCAGCACCTTCCAGAACTACGTCGACTGGTTTTACGGTGCCCTCTCAGCTGTTGATGCCACCATCTGGCCCGAGTTTGCATCATTTCTTCCTCCTTTTGACTCGTTTTTGATATCATTTCCATTGTAGCTTTTCTACCGTAGAAGCGAACTGGGATTATATTGTCGGCTGGACACTGACTGGAGACACTATTCCATACACCAATTTCGATGATTGGCTTCACTATTCTTACACCACTTAACAATGGTCTCTCCCTAAATCCTTATGGAAGCGTGCTTAATTTAATGTTCGCTGTTTAAGCCCTTGCAATAAAGATGATTATCTGTCAACTGCTGATCGGTTGCGATGAGTCTGATGAGACCCAACCAAGGTGTCGAAGCATCACACAATTGCTTACATTTCGCATTTCCAAGACTTCGTGCTTGTTTTTCTCTCGAGTACGTGCACCGAAACGGGCCCTGGGCAGACCGGAAATGTCGCCGCTGTGGAAGAATGGTACGAGTGAGGACCCAAGAAGAAGGTGAGCGCAATTCTAACCGTCCACCGGTACACCCTGACAATGCTATGACAAGGACATCCCTTTCCCTCTCCGCCGAACTTATGGAAACAGCTATGATCCAGTGACAACTCGACTACGTCATTGACGTTTCTCCGTAACCTTGTACTACCTACATGTTCCGCTGATGTGGAAAACTGAGGAAAAACTTTCAATGGGTCCACGCTATACTACCGAGTTACGTTTAATAGGTGACAAGAATTACAATCCCAATTGCATTTATATTTCTAGTTCCACAAACTGGTCATTTCCCAGCCAAGTAAGCACCATTCCATTCGTCAACCGACTTAAAGCCCGAAATCTGAAACTCCCTTGTCGTCAGGCCCAAGCCGCCACTATTTTGCTTATGGAGTGAACACCTATTGATTTAGATGTCAAATGGTCCAGCTCTCCAATCTTCGCTATGGCCCCTTACTTCAGAAAAGCCTCGGAAAGTATTGGGGTTCCAAAGGTCAGTAGTAATGCCAAGCTCTACAGGACTTGTTAACATACCTGACCGCCCATTCATGGCGGCAGCGGAACGGCGGGCTAGCCTCGCCGTCTCTCGACTCCATGATCCGAGGACAACAGATGCATATGGCTGAAGGCAGTGTATACGGCATTATCAGCCGGTTTAAAAAGCGGGCGAGTCTTTCATTCGTTTCTTTGTCAGTTTTTGCAACCTCTCAACTGTCATTTATGTTCTTTCTCGCCTCTACCATGAAGTTGGTAGCTTTGCTTGGGCTCCTCGCAGCTTCAGTGGCATCCGCCGTGGTCATACATCCTGAGTTCGACACGCGTGCAGATCTTCCTTCACCCGAATGTGTCGCAGCTATCAAGAACATTGGATTATACCACAGCACCTATGATGCCTCTTGCGCACAGCTGGTGAGCTCTCTTTTCATATTTGAGTTTGCGCGGCGTGCACTTAGATATCCCGCCTACTAGGTCTATAACTGCCTCGCGAATTTGAATGGCACTAAAGACCTGTGGAGCACAACTAGTTGTGTTACTGGTGCAACCTGTCAAGGTGTAAGTATTAATGCCTCAATCTCTAAAGTCAAATCAAGATATTCACGTTCACGTAGACCAATTCACTTGTGAGATTGGCACAATGTTACGATTCCAACATTGGTAATGCAAGTGATATATCCCATCTGAGTTACAACGTGAGTGGGCCCGCCTTGTGATTCGCTCGGTGTTACACTGTATTCTTACGGATGGCTATCAGATATTTGCAGATATCGTTGGTGATTGCGCTTGGCAAGAGGGAGGGTGTCCCATCACCTTCCAGAATTATATTGACTGGTTCTATGGAGCTCTGACGGCCATCAACTCCACCGTCTGGCCTAGGTGTGTACATGTCTTCTGCGGTAAATTTCATTTCAGTTGACTTTCCAATGTAGCGACGTTGAGACCGTGAGGACCAACTGGTGGAATTACATCCTTGACTGGACGTTGACTGGGGATACTCTCCCATACACCAACTTCGATGATTGGCTCCACTATTCTAACACTTCGTAATGCTTTCTTCTGCCGTGCTGAACACTGTCGATGCACCACAGATATCACTGGCACATCCTGGACTCGTCTCATTCGTTTTACTTACTCTTTACGCAAACTACTCGATACCCCAGCATTGCACTTCATCAGAAAACAATTCCCTAACGTTCCACCGTTCCTTTGGGAACTCGTGACTACACCAGCAGTCGTCAAGCTACCAACCGTATGACGGAATATAAATTTGAGCTGAAACCTAACGTCGGTGTCCATATTTTAGCCAAGCTCGCAACTCAATGCTTAATGATTGTAGTGCACCAACTCACATCTGGACCCTTGTGTGCCCTCTCAGGCAATTGTAATTCATAACTTGGTATCATGTCGGCAAGGGATTTTGGTATATGTATCTTCGGCTGTATGAAGCCTACGACAAGTCAAATTATAGTCGTTTGTTAAAGCTAATGCTCCCATTACCACGAGATTCTATCATGATGTGTATCCATCTCAGTGTCTTCAATGATATTCGCTACTGACAACAGGTCGGGGAACGCTCCGGATTTCGCGCTCGTGCGAGTCATACCAAAAGGCGGGTGTTTATGACGCTACTGAGGTAGAACCACAACGAAGCGTCTAGAAAAGATCGGAGACTGTAGCGAGAAGATCAACGCGACCGAAATACAGAGCAGGGCAAATTGTGTCACGGCTCCAGCTTGTGGAGGAGTAGATTATTGGCTGGCGCAGATGCTCAACGTCCTTTTCGTGCATAGACGAACACCTGTGGATTCCCTCTCGATGCATCAACCCGAAAATCTCAAATAGTAACGATGGTTTTCCCATCCTGGCCTATAACGTTTGTCGTCGAATCTATCTATGTCCGCTCTTTACTCCACAATGATACCGGCGGTCCGTGTCGGCAGTAATTTCGATTTTCGAAATGGGCGTTGTAATGGCAGAACTTATCCTCACTTCTTCGGTGGAAACTGATACTATATTCAGTATATCATATTAACCCTGAAACACGCCTACTTTGACGTCCATCCCCAGACTGCCTTTCGCAAAGACTTGCATCGACTTCTCAATCTCGTCTTCAAAGTTGGAAGAATATCGACCAAGCTTTAGCCAGAACCACTGTCGGAATCGAATGGCCCAGAAGAGGACGTCCAAGGAAAACATGATACTTCGGAAAGCAACATAGCTCCAGTATTCCTTTATGCGTTGCCTTAAGGGAAGATCGCGAGTATACGTCAATGACCGTGAAGCCCAGTACCCAGTGATTTTGACACGATTAACGGGAGCGCCCATAGATTGATTGTTGCCTTGCACAATACTGCAATCCCTCCGTCAGTGCAGTTCAGTCATCGAAATCACAACAACCTACCGCATATTGCGCATCAAGAAAATCAACGCTTTGGGCAGCCTATCGGTATCGATCAAAAATTCCTTCAACTTCGCTTTCATCCTCACGCTCTGCTCATACTGGCTCATCCTACTAATCTCCTCGATCTCGCGCGCGAATTTCTCCTTGTCCACCTTCTTGAGTCTGACAGGTCTCATGAGAGTCGCACTGGCAAACAAGTCAGGTAGACCGACGCCCCAACTCCTTGCAGTTTGCTCCACAGCTTTATAGTCCGAGAGTAACAGCGACTTCCAGAGACCAGCCCACTGTTTTCTGAACTCGTCGCCGACAGTCACATAAAGTCCGTGGTCAAGTAAAACCAATTGGGGTGTATCTGGTTTGACAGGATTTTGTCGTATGAGAATATTTCCCGGGTGTGGATCGCAATGTATTACACCGAAGCTGAACATCTGCGCGCTGAAGAGCTCGATCATTGTCTGCATGATAGCCTTAACACCACCTCGGAGTGGTTTAGGAGGAAGAGGCGAGTCCGAATGCATCTCCGTGGGTGAGACGGCTAAAGGTATCTTATACGCTCCCACTCTCGACGGTTTCTCGCCCATCAGGTCGAACACGCCTTGCCGATCACTGAACCGGACACCGTCAATCCATTCCGCTGTCATAACCTTCTTCGTGGTGAGATCATCGAAGACTTTTGGTATGTACACTTTGTCGGACAGTCGAGGTTCGGAAGCAATCAACGCGGCTGCTCGTTTGGCGTTATGGGCTTCCCGAATAAAGTCCAGCTCCTGGCGTAGATGGTCCGCGACAAAGTCTGAGGACAATATCAGTCGAGACGTTTTGATGCATGCGCTGAAGACCTTCACCGACAACAAAATAGACGGGTAGATCGAATGCCCAATTTTCAAATATCCACATGACCATCCGATATGCGCCGAGATCCCACTCTGTTTGTATCGAAACGGCGGGTTTCTGCACCTTGACAGCGACCCAGCGCTCCTGCGTATCCCCTTGCACAGGCCACAGCTTTGCTTTATGCACTTGGGCGATACTAGCACTAGCTATGGCATTTTCGTCGAAGAACTCAAAGACACCGTTCGGACCGCCAGGAGGTCTCCCAAATTCGGACTGGAATACTGATAGAACCTCTGAATATGGAATCTGGGGAGCGTCATCAAATAACTTTGCGAATTTCTGCTGCATCGGTATAGGGAGAAAAGCGGCATTGGCGCCAATTGCCTGGCCTTGAGAAAGAATTAATTGTTGGGTACTTTAAAGACGGAAATGGCGCACCGATTTTGATATACAAGCCTCCATTAGAAGTGAATAAATTATACATTCTATCTGCGACGCGTTGGTGCAATTCTGGTATGAGGTCGCTCTTCTCCTCTGTGAAATTAAATTTGTAGTCTAGCGTTATCATGGCACACTTGGGGAAGAGAATGAACTTCTAAGCAATGTCATAGAGAGAGAAGCAAACATGCCGTATACAACGTTCTACAGTTTCGAGTGATAGCTGAGGCATTGAAAAGCCTATCCAGAGTGTAAACGGCCCCTGTTCCTGCAATCAAGTAGCCCACCCGACGAGCATACTTCCTACTTCGAGAAGGAGCTGTTGTAGGTGATGAAAGTGTCGCGTACGACCGCCTGTGTGGTGTCTCGTCGACTCCTTTTCGGACCCATCCCAAGAGTGGCCGTGAGACGAAGCGATTCATGTCAAATTCGTCGAAGGACAGAAAATTTCCGACCAGAGGAATGGGGTCAAGAAAGGAGGAAGAGAGTAGCTTTATTAGCTTTCGATGACATGGACGTGGATGACGAGTTTTAGTTTTTTGTCGGCAATGACGAAGCGAATGGGGAGTGCGGACCGGGGAACCGGAGGACACGTGCGGAGTGAAATCGTCGAAGGACGCAGAGGCGCAGTCATTCAGCTGAATATCTACCAAATGTTCCCGGAGACCCTTTGGTACCTTCTCAATGTTGCCATTGTCTTCGCGCAGACGAGGAAGCAGCTTTCTCTGAATACTGTCTCTTCGTTCAACGACTCGTCAACATTTACTCTACCGGAAGCAAGCAACCTTACAGTTTCGGTCGCCTTGTGTTCTTCAAGCTCCTCTGCCCGATTTTTCGTCACAAATACGTCGGCAGATGCAGACAATCCAGGACCCGACGGCGGTACAGATGTATACGAAATATCACTAAATGAGGGTTTCGGCAATTTCGCGGGTGCTTTTACGAATGGAGGTGTCCTGTCGGCAGACGATGCCAGCAACGTTACCTTTGAAGTAGGCGTGTCCGAAAGTGGTGGGTACTCATTACTTCCCTTGATAACGGAAACGCTACCCTATTCTTCTAGGACCAACGCATAAAATTTCAACGGACCCCCCATCACTGGGTGACACCACAGCAACCCAGGCTATCATATTTTCTCCCGTCTTCTTGGAAGTATCCTCAGAAGTGCCGACCTACCCAAACTATTCTTTACCAGTCGCGAATCTTTCAGCCCCCGCGGTACCTTCCACGTCCAACAATTTCTCGCTAATTTTTTCGGAGACGTCAGGATCTAGCCCGCTCGCATCTGGACTGCAGACGGGCTGCGCGTTGCAGAGTCAAAATTCCACTGGAACCATTGTTAACCAAACCATGTGGCTTCCAAATGAAGATGGCTGGCGAACACAATGGATTATTGACGGTTTGACACCTGCAACGAACTATACCGCCTATGTTATAATTGACAATACCACCGTCAGTGGACCCATATACTTCATAACAAAATCTGGTGCGCCTATATCAACAAGATGCCCTAGCTCATCTCACTTCTAGCCACAGAGTCCTTCTCCTGTCCACTATTATCCAATCTGCCGTATTGCCCCGGCATCGCATATGCTATACCCCTTGCGCAACCATCCTCGCAATCCACCTATGACTCCACCAATCTCCCTTCAGAAATCGCAGAACCCCTCATATCCTCATTGACCAACTTCACTACAACTCTTACGACCTTTGCCTGCGGCCGCGACGACTATTCGCCTCTAGTGTCTTGTAATGATTGTCAGCGGGAATATCGGAGATGGCTTTGTACCGTCAGCTTCCCCCGCTGTGGGGAGGCAAGCTCCAATAACGGGGCCATGGTGGCTGCCAATGGTGCCCAGAAGGTCTTCTCAGCCTTGTTATCCCAGCCAACGACAGTCACGCCTAGAAACTCAAACTTTCCATCTTTCAATGAAACTTATACGGCACTATTGCCTTGTTTGGAGCGTTGCAATGCTGCCGACCGGGCTTGTCCTAGCTTCCTTGGCTTCCGATGTCCAACGGCGCAGTTCAATGCTTTAAGCAGCTACGGTGTAGGATATATAGATAGTGGCGTAGAGGGTGTAGAGGGCCGGGGATCTTCGGGGACCGCGCAGGATCGCTATGGGAATGTCTGGTGTAACTATGGATAAGGGCAAGACTTTGTTGTGTTTTTGCGTGCTATAATTTATCCATTCTTTTCTAGTTCTGTTTTTAGGGACGGGAACAACTATCATTTGTTCAGTTCCACTCTTATCTGTGGGTAAGATGAAGCTGCATAAGACAACTTGTAACATGAGGACCACTGCCACATTGGTTCTAAAGCGCCTTGGCTTCCTGATCGAGGTCCAGAGTTGACCATGACCATGCCCAACCTTCTTTCACCTTCTCCATCATGTCTTCCATCTGCCTGGGTTTTAGACGGTCGTCGCCATCTCGGATATCTTCGAACCCTGGTGCATTGAATTCATATAGGAGCCCCTCGGTTTTCGCTGAAGTGAGGATATGGTTCCCATATGGTTGACGGATCTTGCTGTAAGCAGCCAGTACCTTTGGGATCGATTCCAGTGTTGCGGCTGATTTGGACAAGAGGTACCCGAGAACGTACGCATCCTGCCAATATGTAGAACTTTCAAATCTGGTCATTCGAAGGCTGAGGGGCGTACCTCGACAGCTTGTCCTGCCCCTGCGCCGAGATGCGGTGTCATGGCGTGAGCCTGCACAAACATAGATTGAACACAACACATAATCCGTCCACAACTGTCATACCGCGTCACCGAGGAGCACAACTTGGTCAGAAGCGTATAGATCCAATGGGTTGAGCGCATGTATGGCCCATACTGTCGGGTTGTCAATGCACTGTGTTGGTACGCAATCAGTCAAATCGTCTCTTGAAACGTGATAGGATTTTATTCGCCTGTAGAATCGCCTTTACTTCGTCCTCCCAGTCCAAGAAATTGGACATCATCTCATCTTTGTTTGCTTCTGCAACAAAAGGTCCATCGAATGGTTTACCTTCGTGCGACAGGACCGAACTAAATGCGACAACATTGATGAACCGGCCTTGTGATACTGGGTATACAACGACGTGCTTAGAAAGGATCAGACCGACGTCCGGAAGGAGGACGCGCACTGCCAGTCACCTTGTTTTTCCCGCAGTACTAGTCTCATGTGAGTTTTGGTATTGGATCACAGCCCTGGGTATACGAACTTACCATCATCCGCTTCTTAAGTGCACGATGTCCGGGCCATCTTTTCGCAAGCTCGTCAACAAGAAATAGCCCTCTGTACGCAAGGGTCCCTGAGAAAACGGGTGCGATAAATTTGTTATCGGTTCCAGGATACAGTTTCGCCATCAGCTTCACTCGGACGATACTTTTAATTCCGTCAGCTGCGATGAGCAGATTACAAAAAGCTGTGCGCCCGTTTTGGAACTCGAGTTGCATTCCATCTTTAGTTTCTGTATAACTAACAAGCCGGTGGGACAGGTGACATGTAACTCCGGGGGGCAGGTTCTTCAAGAGCGCCTTCTGAACGTCGTGGCGATGGAAACCATCTGGTAAAGAGTTATAAAATTGGAGGTGGGCATGTGTGCCAAGGACGAGCCTGCAAAAAAGGCGCCTGTCATGTCTCGTTAGAAAGGAATTAACGATAGTGCCCTTCTCTGACCTATAGACATAAGCTCGTATAGGTCTGACCCAGAAGATGAATCCCCTCGCCGAAACATGAATAGGGGACCTACGGGGGAAGATCAATGCCTTCAAGATCCGATACACGCAGCGGCTGAGATTTCGCACCAGGCTCGTTCCGAGGCTTTTCATTAGCTATCTCCAGAAAATCCTTCTCCAAACCAAGGTTCTTCAAAATATTCCATGTACGTTGCCACAGTGTGATGCCAGCGCCGATTTCGGTCAGTTTGGATGCGGATTCATAGAGATCGACCACCAGCGATTTACAATCTTTGAGCGCGATAGCGCATGTAAGGCCACCAACGCCCCCTCCACTGCCGGTTGTTGGAACCCGGTAATCTTAAGCTTAAGTGCTTTCGAAACTGACAGTGATAGACGTACATGATAGCAACCCGAAGCTTCTCATTCAGTTCTGCCATTGGTTCTGGGGTGAGTATCGGGGTTCGAGTGTAATAATCAGCGGGTAGGTCAGACTCACACGCCGCTGAGTATTTGTGAGGTCAGATGCTATCCATGACGAAAGACTCCCAGGTAATTGGGCGCCAGAATAAGAACGATCTTCACGGCTTGATAAGATGCGCTGACCGTGGTGGATTACTGTTTAGGGTGTCAAAATCACTGTTTGTAGTGTATGGCGCCGGAGATAAACTTTCAGCGAAATGTGCGGCGCTGACAGCAATTATTCTTTTATTATAAACGAATGGCGTGTTGGGGTGCTTATCATAGTTATAGATACTGTACAAAGAGTGAATATAATAACGATAGTGTTGATAGAGAGTGAATTCAAGGAGTCGGTCAAAGAAGTGTAAAATCTCCTAGACTGATGAATACAGGTTAAAATGATGGCGTCATTCCAAGTTGAAATGAGCCAGTCGTGTTGTCTCTGCAAAGAAAATCGTAAATGCCAGCGAAGAAATTATAAAGGCGCCCACATACAGTAAACAAGTTAAATTTCACTGATGCACCCATCGAGTCTCCCCTGGTGCGTTGGGACATTTATGATTTGCCAGTGTCTTCGCAGTCGAAAAGAACCTCCCACAAAGATTACACAAGAACTCGCAAGCTTTGTTATGCTTAGAGACTTCGTGCCTAAGTCGATCGTGCTGACGTGAAAACCATTCATTGCATCCAAAGGAGCAAGGGTACGAAGGCCTATTTTTCGGTTTGTGAGCTTCTGTATGCATCTTCAGGGTGTATCGATTCGCGAAGCGACGGCCGCATCCAGGTATCAGGCAGGGATGTATTTTGCGTCTAGCAGCGTCATCACTATCATTTGCCCTGGATGGAGTGGGGGTAGTGGGCTGAGGAACATGCTGGATCACCTCGTGCGAGCCGCTGGGAAAGCGAGACGAAATCCCAACATAGTTTGATATGTTTTGCGGTAGCGAGTACGACATGATTTGGGAGCTTGATTCGGTGGAAGCCGAATTTGTCGAGTGGCTAAATTGGACATCAAATATGTTCTGACCATCGTCTGAGGGAGCGGGTGAGGAAAATCCTACTATGTCTGAGCGTGAGATTCAGATTATGGGCGAGAAAACGAAGCCAACTTACGATCGGGGGTCTGAAGGCTTGACCATGGCTCTGGAGCCGCTCCCATTTCGCCTACACGAAAATACGGTGAAGGGGTGGAGGCACTGCGTTCCGACTGATTTGTCCAAGACAAAGGAGAGTTCATGTATGCGTCGCCTTCTGATACAACGTTCAGAAAAAGCCAAAATCAAGACCAATAAAACGAACTGCGTTCATGGTACGGGATTTGTTTTAATGAAGGATGACATTGAGAAGCTAAGCGAGCCAAGTAAGAAACGACGCCATGCGAACGGATAACGTACTAGTTCCGTGAGTGTTGAAAGGCGGTGCTGAGGGTGTAAAATTGTTCCAATACTCGTAGGCACCGGAAGCATTGATCCCATCTGCAGAGGATGCTTGTTCAGAATTGTTCGGGGAAAGTCCATAGGGATGATAGGGAAAGTTGAGGTTACTGTCTGACGATAAGCGGCGACGACCTTGGCTCCCAGAAGGAAAGGTGGAATTGGGATGGTGTTCGTCTGGATTGTACGGATACATAATTGGCGGGGTATTGGAATAACCTAGACCTGGAGGTAGATTTGTTCAAGTAAAGCGGAACGAAGGCATACCGCCACAACCAGCCATGAGGTGGGGAGAGTCAAAATGAGCGTTTAGACGGCGAAGTGTTTTTATAATACGACAGTCTAAGACACACGATCAGCATAAGATTGCAGTGAGTGGGTGAGAAACCTGTTACATTATTTTAGGAAACGCGAACGAGTGGGGAGAAAAGGCGGGGGAGGTGGAGGAAAGAGCGGGAAACAATACATGGTTGTTATTTATACGAACGGAGGACGCGTGATGGCATGGATCAACACAACCCCCTTGTCAACTCTTAATACACACTTGAATTTCGTCTAGGTCGGCTTGGAAGGATGTCAGGGGGGGAGGCTGACTAAGCATGTGCCTTTCATTGGTTGCTCTCTTCTTCGGGTCACACTCGAATTCAGAAATAGCTTTGGCAATCCTTCTCAAAAGTCTAGGTCTCCTCACAGCGCTTTCTGTCGGTTCCCTCAATATTCCTCCTGCTTGCGGAGCTAGCCTGACTCGACTCGACACCGACATTCTGGCATGCACCGCCGATTGTTGTCAATGGCATGCACATTCTCTTGCTCGCCAAGAAAACAAGCAAAAAAGGAAACTGGTGCTCTTTCTTGTCTTGCCTGAATCTCTTGGAAATAATGCATCAACGAGCTTACTGTCTGGGCCGCAGTGCGCCACTGAGACGACGCATCAACGCATCATTTTCGGAGGGCGGTGGAATGCTAGGTCTAATATACTTTCCACTGCCTTGTTTCAGCCGTCCCAGTCTAGCGGGCTCTGGAACATGCATCACATCCACCTTCAAGTAGAAACGTGCCCTTTTGAAAGGTATGGAGCGGGTGAAAGAGTACTTGGTGCATGGATGATAGTTGGGTGCTTGTCGGTCGCCAGGGCCCGCTGACATGAACCCTTATGATGTCAATATGTTCCTTCTCCCTGATTGTGACTGCATCCCAGCTTAATACTGGAACTACGTAGATTTCACGAGCGCTTCCTTTGGCTACCGAGCAAGAACCGCAGCGAAACATCGGCGGGCTTGCAAAATATAATTCAGGAACTATGCGCCACCAGATCGCGGTGTACGGGAAACGTCGTATGCTACCAAGAAAACTTTGAATTCATGACTAACAGAATAATAACTGACCAGCAAGGCTTGACTGTTTGTACTAAAGAAGCTTGCTTGAATGAAGAACCGTCCTTTGGAACCTTGTATTGGGGGTCGAGTGTTTTGAATTATCAGAACGTATCATTTCGTCACAGAATTTCTAGACTTTTGTACACGATCGTCTCCGGAGCATTTTGCATTTGTCATTATACCCCAGTTGGATTCGTATAACTTACTAGTCGTACTGCTTATCTTCCGTAAGGATTGTAGGAGTTGCCGGTTTGCTCGGATAGCTGATGATGCTGTTCAGTGTTCTCCGGTTTTAAGACTTTGGATACGTCAAACTCTAAAGGGAAACTTTTAGCGGTACAGTTGTGCCCCGTGAGCTACTAGTATTTTCTGGCTACGGTACCGTGGGATAGTACTGAGATACTCATGTTTTCGTCTCGTAAGCGGGTCGGGGTTGACTATTCGTCGATGTAGTTAGTCCCCGGATCCCCGGATGATATTCCTTTCCGCGCCGAACATCCCTCAAGAGGTTTAAGTAGATTCAGATTCAGATTCATTACATTTGAAACCAAAATTTATATCTTCGTACTCATGATGTCTTCCACTGCCGTGGATTGATTTTCCCCATTGTATAATAGACTCTCGTAGCAACGCCACTTGGGCGCTTGATCATCCACCGTGTCCAAGGATATCAACAAGACAGCAGCCCTGGTAATTCAGGAACGTCGCACTTCGACTTGTAGTACTATCTTTTCTTTGTATCCGTCCGTGACCGTCAACGTTAACATCATACAGAGAAAGGAATAGTCCGAAGCAGGGGCGCCTTCTTACTTTTGTCACATTTACTAGCAGGTAGGTTATAGGATGTCTTAGGATCGTTAAATAATGCAGAAACCAGCATAAAGACTAATGAATGACCGCCCCTACGTAGTAGTAGAAGGCTGCATTTTACCCCACAATGCGGTTCCGACTGCGTCCCTGCTTTAAGTAATCATTCCGACGTTCAAGAACTACAGAACGTCTGAAAAGAAGTGAGGAAAGCGGAAAATGGGCATGCATTGTCGCCTTCATTGCCTAAGTTGAAACGTATACCGTACACATCGTGAAGTCAAATTGAATTAGGTAGCATGAAAGGTAACGTTCGAATAGATTCAGAAAAGGAAACCGACATAGATGTGAAGATCAAAAGGCAAAAATCCCATATGTTTGGACCTTGTCTTCTATGGTGGCTGAAGCATTGAGGTCCTGGGCCTCTATGGTTAATGATCCTTGAAATCTGTCTTGGTCGCCTAAAGTGTTGTTTGAGGCTCTGGAACAGCTATCCGCCCATTTCGGACGGGGATCAAAGGTCCTAAAGATACGCATAAGTTTCAATTGAAATGGACAGGTTCGAAGTTACCCTATGCCTACATGCCTCCGCTAGGCAATGGCCAACAAGAAAAGATCGGACCATCACGAAGAAATTTATCGCGGATTAAAAGGATCTTTTGGGGTGGTCATGTATGAAAAGAAGTTTCCTTCTGTAAGTCGCAAGCATCGTATCAACGCACCGGCAAGAAAGGGGTACATGTCAGCGTTCCGACAGTCAGTTGGGTCCTTTAGGGTTATCCTTTATGAACCAGAAGTTCTACTTACTCAAAGCGAAAGAAAATAAGACGTCATGATAGATATGATATGAATTGAAATAAGAAACTCAGGCTGAGAACACTACACCACCCGTTGGTCACGACCGCCGTCCAGAAGAAGGTGGCGCAGGGCGGGGTTCTTGCTAGATTCAAGCCGCCAGGAAAATCAACGAGCTACAGGCTGAGGGAACGAAAACAGGCAGAGAAGCAAACGATTCACGGTGAACTGCGGGTTCTCCTAAGTTCAGGTGCGGAGAACTTGGGCTAAACTTGTTTTTTCTTGTTTTTAGTAACGTTCGCGAAGACCTCTCTTCCTTAACCGCCCGGGACACGCAGACATAGACTAGTAGTGACTGTCTCCGACTCAAGATTGATCTCTGAAAGAAAAACAGGAGAAGATTTGCTGCCCTACAAAGATTAACGTATGCGGGTCCAGCTTCTGAGTCAAGGGATTGGCATTTTTGAGAAAGAGGGTCCCTCAGCTGGTGTTACTGTTTTTACGAATCCTTGAACGGTTACTAGCGGCGGACTGGCCTACCACAAAGTCACGGTACTGTGCCAGTGTGAGCCAAGAGGGAACAGCACACAATCTTCTGGAGAAGGTTCTGAGTCTCAATCTCCTTCGGTATTCCGTACTTTGTCCTGAACAAAATCGAAGAATAGTCAGGATCGGCGAAATCCTCTCGACAGCATGCGAATGCCAAGTGTGGTTCAATAATACCTTCGCCAAACCATTCCATAATCATAATCCCATCACACATAGACGGACGGACAATGTCACACTCAAGAACACCATCGACGACGAGTCGATCTTAGCGGATTCGTCCTCGACTGCCTTGCTTGCGGAGATGACATGTCGAAACGATGGCTGCGTACAATAACGACACCTCGCTCGTTCCCAAAGCTGGTAGGGCTTTCGGGCTGATAAAGGGCAATATCGATGACGAAGTGTGGTTATCGGATACCGTCGACCCGTGTACCTTTATGACAGTCACAGCCGTGGAGGGGTATAGTCCTGAAGGACAGGCGTCCATGTTATTGCTCGCAGCTGGAGGGAAGATATCGTCATCAATTCCACTAGTACTGATTAGGGATGATACTACCTGCTTGTCAATCAGCACTAGCATCATTGTACCTTCGAAGCTTCGGCGCGCGGTCCTCATTCGAGTTCTTGTCTTTATCCACCTTATCAATAGACTTCTTAGTTAGTGCTCCTTAGTTAGTGCTCCTTGGGGAGATATATTCACTGGAGTTGTCAGCGACGTGTTCAGGAGGATCGTAGTCGGCATAGTTCTCTCCTTGTGACCATGGGGTGCCCAGTTGACGTCATCCTCAGCCCCTTCATGTGTGGGCCGGTCTTCTAGTTGGAACGGTTGAATGTCCATTATGGCTCTTCATAACTGCCTTGTTCAGAGCACTTTTGAAATACCGTTCTTCGAACAGATTCGCGACATTATCGTACTGGGGAAAGTCTTCCTGAGCCTCCGCAGATGTGTACGCGATGTAAAGGACTGTGCGAACGATCCCGAACGCTACTGTTACGTCGTGGAATTTGTTTGGAAGACACTGAGTGATGGCGGGATAATCTCCTGGATATTTGAGACAGTCCAAGCGAGCCAAGCAAAGGTACTTAACCCTAACCTCATGATGGTAGACCGGCTCTCGGCCGGCCCAGTCGTACGGGGACTAATCTAGGCAATCATTGAAACTCAGCTACGCAGGCCAGGTCCTTAAGAGTTTCCCCCAGCGACAATTTCCTGACATCTACCAACGGCGGGCACGACGAGCGCGCAGTTGACACATTTTGTATCGGGCCTTAACTTTGCCAAGCGTCCCAGTCGAACCGGAGCTCGTACTCGGGCTCCTAGCCCTGTTTTCACCAATCCATTTGTCTCGCCTACCATATAGCGATGTCATTCTCCCGGACGTTCTCCTCTACAAGCACCCTCAGCTCGAGATCATGTACTCCTTGCCCAACAGTCGTTCAGCCTGACCATTTCTTCGGTGCCGACGATTCTCTACCGTCACCCACCTCCGTCGGAAGGCCCTGGCTGACACCCGAAGATGATCCCCTGGCACATCGAGGGATACCGGTGTTTAAGCCGACAATGGATGAGTTCAAGGATTTTGAGGAATACATGAAGAAAGTCGAGTGTTGGGGAGAGCGGAGTGGTATCATTAAGATTATACCTCCGAAGGAATGGTACGTAACGGCACCCTAGCCTGTCTGTCATTTCTAACCATCCCTTAGGTCGGAATCTCTGCCACTGATAAAGGAACAACTCAATAATTTGAAGATATCATCACCTATCGAGCAGCACATGCAGGGACGCGCTGGCCTTTTCCGGGTAGAAAATATGATGAGAAGGAAGTACATGAGTGTACGTGAGTGGGTAGAGATGTGCGACAGGGAAGATTATCGTTCCCCGGGCGTCCACGAAGTTGGTCTTCACGGAAGGAGCAGCATCAAGGCAAAGACGCGACGATCTAAGCGTCTTTCGGACAACGGGAAAATAGAAATGGCTGACCCCGAGGATGAGGTCGTCATTAAGGAGGAGCCCATGGACAATCTCAACGAAACGCCCAGAATCTACGATGATGGCTCAGGATCCGTGAACGCGCCTATCGTTATCGAGCCACTGCGAAGAACGCCCCTTTACCACTCTACCCCTGCAGAAGAGAAACCAACTGAGAAGAGGCCACCTGGGCGGAAAAAGACGACAACCGAGAAAGCTGCAGAACGGTCAGCTCGCGATGCTGCTTTCTTGAAGACGTTTGATCCCTACACGCATTGGTTGCCACCAGGTACAACACCATCAGATTATACCCCAGAGTTCTGTCACATACTCGAAAGGCAATTTTGGCGTAGCTGTGGCCTGGGTAAGCCAGCTTGGTACGGTGCGGATTCGCAGGGTAAGTACCAATCACAGAATTCGCAACTATTCTTCATTTCTCCACTCAGGGACCCTATTCACTGATAAGACCCAGATCTGGAACATTGGACACCTGGAATCTGCTTTGACGCGACTGTTGCCTTCATCAAGTCAAGGATTACCCGGTGTGAACACACCCTATCTTTACTGGGGGATGTGGCGCGCATCGTTTGCCTGGCATGTCGAAGACATGGACCTCTTCAGTATCAACTACATTCACTTCGGAGCACCCAAATTCTGGTATGCAATTCCTCAAGGTAGAGCCGGCGCTCTGGAACAAACCATGCGAAGTGTGTTTCATTCTTTTTCTCTATGCTTTTCTTAACGCTGATCCGTCTGCTTCAGGCTACTTCCCCAAGGACGGGCGCCAATGTTCGCAATTCCTTCGCCATAAATCCTATCTTGCCTCTGCGACTCTATTGGCACAGTCATCATGCAGGCCGAATCACTGCGTACAGCACGCGGGAGAAATTATTATTACTTATCCTCTGGGCTATCACGCTGGATTCAATCTAGGATTAAACTGTGCGGAAAGCGTAAATTTTGCTTTGGATAGCTGGATCAGCAAAGGAATTAAGGCCAAGGCTTGCGAATGCATCTCTGATAGGTCAGTTTCCAACAGCTCTAGCATTATCATGCCCTTGACTTGATATGTTCAGTGTTCGCATTGATGTAGAACAACTTTTAAGGGACCGTGAAGATGAATGCGATCTTATCGCTTCCACGTCGCCCCCCCAGCTAAAGCGATCTCCCATCAAAAAGGAAATTTCGGTGGTTATTCCAAGTTTGAAGACCGTCCGTCCACTGAAGCGGCCATATGACGGCGAGCTAGGGGCGTTGCCCAAAGCTAAGAAGGTCAAACTGACAACTCCCAAGGCAACAAAACCTCCAGCACTGGTCCCATCCACCTCCCAAGTAACTAAGGTTCCGACGAAAGTTACACTGAAATTAGGACCGCGACCTTCGGAGCCTGAACATTATCCCTGTTGTCTATGCATATCCACGTCAACGGAAGGCCTTCTTCGTGTCCAAGACCCGCCTATTGGCCGCAAAGATGCTGTGGATGCTACGGGAAATCCAAGTGAATGGATGGCTCACGAGAGCTGTGCTAATATTGTACCTGAAACGTGGGTTGACGAATTAGACGGATGTAATGGACTGAAAGAGAGGGTGGTGTTTGGTGTTGATGGAATCGTGAGAGACAGATGGAATCTTGTGAGATATTTTATGAGACTGTTAGTGCGACAGGCATGTTTACTGACAGCGTCTTACAGAAATGTTCCGCCTGCACTAAGAGCAGATCCAGGGCACACGGAGCACCTATACAGTGTACTAAGGGCAAATGTCCGAAGGCGTTTCATGTGTCGTGCGCTCGGGACGGAAAGGAGCAACATATTATCTTCGAGACTTTGCGTGAAGTGGAGAAGGAGGTGGTGCTTTTGGATCCAAAAACCCCTGGAACATCGTCTGACCAGATGAAAATTGACTCCGTAGCTGGCCTTCCGATGGCTGACTCGCAGGTGCTGAAGGTAATAAAGAAGGTAGAGGTGCAAGTACTTTGCACGCAACACAACCCCGTTGGTACCTTGATACCTACAGTCCGTTCCAGTTTCTCACTCTTTGTTGCAGTTCGTAACCGCAGCCAAGAGGGCTTCCAAACAAGACAAAATTCGAAACGACCTCATGGCTTTACCTGATATGGCTCGTATAAAGATTCGAGTCAGTGCTGGCGTTTTCGAGGTCTCCTTGGTCCGCGTGATCGAAGAGACAGGTTCTGTTGAGGTCCTCTGGGATCGTGGCTCCAAGAGGGAGTTCAAATGGGGCAGTGTAGTCTTCGGAAACACCGATGGTCCTGTTGTGCAAAAGCCTTCTGAAGCTGCACCCGAACCTCGTAGGTCATTTTATGTCTGTTTCTGCGCTGTCGTTCACTGTACCTTTTCAAAGCGGCGCCAACAAGTAATGCCGAAGCCTCGACCAGTCAAAATGCCAAGCCTCCAGTGCCTACGGCTCAATATGGGTCTTCCGCACCGCCCAATTATGGCGCCAATCCATATGCATATTGGGGATACCAGGTCTCAGGTCAGCAGTCAGGTGCATCAGCCTATCCTTATCAAGGCTATTACGCTACAGCAGCCCAACTCTATCCCTATCCCACCCCACAGCAGAAAGGATACTCAGGCAAGCTGCAATGGCAGCAGCCCTACCAAGGTCCGCCTAACGGTGGTTATTATTACCCCAGTGCTCAATACCAGACACAGACGGGTGCCACGAGCAGGCCCGAGATAGTCAAAACCACTCCTCCTCCTCCTCCTCCTCCTCTTACACAGACATCGACACATGCATCAACCCCAGCCAGTCCTCAGACGGTTACACCGACGCTTGTATCGCAAATGGTGACTCTGCCCAGTGATTTAGCGGCGTTGGTGACTATGCAGCCCGAACAGCTGACAGCCATATTCCGTGACCAACCGCAGCTAAGAGATATGGTTTTAGCAGCAGTTGAGAACGCGAAACGGGAGTGTCCGGCGTAGATTATCATATCATTATGTTGAGTTTTAAAGTTTTGTACCTCTATTGTTATTTCGAGTATTCACGTTGTATAATACCAAAGTTGGGACAGTTTTTGCCTCGAGGAGGGGCGATGTTGAGTTCTATTTCAGAAGAGATAGTGTATGGTATGTGTATAGACTCACCCCGAACCCGAGGGGCCAACGCGCCCCTATCATAACGTTGTGACTGTCGCAGACGCGACTTGTCACACGTTCGGTACCTTTTGGCACCTTTGCTCATCTCGTCCCCGACTGCCTGCGCCACATTCAATATCCTTCATTGCTATCGTAAAATACCTCTATCCCTGTGGTGGTACTAGTTTTGGTCTGTAAAGCTCTCTCAGCTTCGAACTGACCGTCGATATGTGGACCATCGTTGGACCATTCGACGGTGAAACAGGGGAAGTCAACTTTGCCAGTACGCCAGGATATTCTGCTCGTTGCATGTACCTCTGACCGAGTAAAAAGAATCTAAGCTGCTAAAGCCTGGCTCAACTTACGGTCTCGGAAGAAAAGGCCAGCCACTGTTGATTAACAGCAAAAAGATATCACATCACCATTGTGAACTCATCGTAGGGAAGAGCGAGGTGGACGCTGTGGTGCGCCTGACTACCCATCTCACAGAATTCATTCTCAAACGTTTACCCAGTCTGATCCGCTTTCAAAGCCGAATATTCAGCTAGTAAATAAGAAGGACAAGATGTTCAAAGTTGAAAGGAACGGAGTACCTTTCCCTGTGAACTCTGCCGCAATCGTGGAGCTACAGGATGGTGATATACTTCAGTTGGCATCTGCAGTATCTACGAGGTGTGCCTCCGAATTAGCTAACACGTCCTATCGCTCATATCTCATCAGCGTGAGATGGTTGCCTGTCTGTGTCTATCTTCCGTCAACGCGAGGGAGGTCATCCACATCTCTGGAATCTTGTGCAGCACTTGGTGAGCGTTGCGGTCTATCTGCCGTGTGAGCGCTCTGAGACGTCTTTTAGGTGTCAAGGCCCTACACCTACCTAATCCTAATGTTACACACCATATCACGTCTACACTCTCAGCAACAACATCAATCGCCGCGTCACTCATATCTGCATGCCAATTCGTCAAGCCGGAATGGCTCAGTGAGGTGCTCAGGCTTGGAGGTTTACCTAGTGACGATTCCTCGTCGCTTGAAAGCCATTTTAAAATGCCTCTTGCCTCCAAATACCGTCCTACTTTCTCACCCGCACTTCCGGAGAAATATAAGACACCGGACGTGTGGAACCCTAATGAAGAACGACTCCACATCTTTAAGGACCACCGGTTCATGTGCATCAGTGAAAGGTCCAGAGAAATCGATAGCGAACTGCGTGAACTTCTCCAACGCGGTGACGGGTCAATTGAAACATTCAATATTCAGGATGGCGGTATGAAATGGCGCAAAGCATTGTCTCGCGGACGTGCCAAGGAGAGCGTGAAAATAGTCGCTATCGCGTCGGAGGATGCTATGGTGGCTGCTGTTGGATCTGAGAGCTGGCAGGAATTTTTCGAAATCGTTCGAGAGTGAGTGCCAACCTTACTTCTCTATCGAAACTTACAAAGCCCATCAGATTTGACGTGCGCGTCTTAGAGCCTCAAGACATTGTTCAGACCGTGTTGGATGTGGATGTCTCCATATTCAATGGTGGGACAGTTGTCGTAGGTAAGGATAGAGTTGTTGATGGAATATGATGTCTAATGCCCTGCCAAGAATCTTCTCTTCCGGATGTCACATCCAATTCCATACCAGATGAGCCATCTATTCTGCTTCCTGAATCTGAATCGGTGGTTCCACCTCGTAAAAAGCTGGTTAGGAGAACGGTTTCTCGCCAAGCATCCCAAGAACCTGTCAGTATACCAGATCCGAATGCAGAGAAAGCTCTGCTCCCGCGGCGTGTATGTTTAGTAAACCCGTCCATGTAACGCGAGCTGATTCGTATATTAAGAAATTGACGAGAAGAGCAGGGTCCCAACAACCGGAGGACCCTTCGATTTCATTGATGCCTCCTCCAGAGGATGCATTGCGTCCGCGGCGGGTCGGTCCAATTTCGCTTGACGTTATAATACTTTTATTGACTGGGCCAATGCAGACATTGACAAGACGCGCTAACGCAGGATTGCCGATTATTAGCAGTTTAAACGATAATTCGATATTGATCAACTCATTGACTGCTACAAGTGAGCCTTCAGAAACACAAGCCGAATCTACAGCTGAAAGCTCTGTAAGTTGTGAGTTACCTGCAGACAGCCCAGAAGGTTGATCCGCTTTTCTAGTTTCCTCTGCAGCGCTCTAAGAAACTTAAACGTCGTCTAGACACAACAGATCCCATCGAGTCGCAATTGGCATCCATAGGCAAGATCGAAGTTCCTGCAGAGCCTGCATACAAGAAGCATAAGGCTTTATTCGATGCGAGCGATCCGGAAAAGGCCGGAATAACGTTCGATGGGACGAATTTCAGCGGCTTTCAGAGCAGTCAAACACAGAGTCAGTCTGAAACGTTGGGTTCCCGGAGTGCTCTTCAGCCGGTTCGGGAAGAAGAGGAGGAGTCCCAACAGTCTGTTCCCGAGGGTAGCAGAGGGCAAAAGAGAAAGTCTGTTTCGGAAGACGTCGAAATGGCTGGTGTTGAGGAGGCTTCCGCACTTGCACCAGAGGCCGATGCCCCTCCGGCGAAGAAGCGAGCCATAGACAATGTCAATGCTGTTCACCGTCTGCCGACAACTACCATTCAAGCTGACGATCGGACCAGATCAAAACCGCCTTCTACTGTTCAACCGCCCAAGTCCAAGTCCGGTGCTCCTCCAGGTAAGCCGGATACAGACGATGCTTTCTTAAAAGCAATTGCCTCTACGAAACGGGGGAAAAAAACCGAGGACGACTTTGACCGTGAGTTCAACAAACTAAAGATTTCGAAGCCCGAGTTGAACAAAGAAAACCCGGAGGATGAGTGGAAGGTCTTGGAACAATTCGGCGACGACAATAACGTTAGAGGAAACTTCATGGTTGTTGTCCCAATGGAAGTGCACGGTAAACGTGAGGGAAAGACTAGACAGAATGAAACAAACGCGGAATGGCAAGGCAAGCCCAATTTCAAGAAATTCAAGAAGGTATATTGGTGTTTAATTGTTCCAACTTTGGTGGTTAATGCTTTTTGAACACGCAGAAGATTACTAGCCGGGTACGCCCCAAGCTCGTCGACCTTGTCATTAGTGATGAGAGTACCATGGCTTCAGCGACTGGTAAGAAGTTACGAGACCCTTTGCTTTTAAATCGATAGTCATATCGTTCTTACAGTGCTCTCCCAGATTTCAGCATCATACCAGCAGATTGATGAGCCGATTGATATCGATCCAACCGAACCACCAAAACGTACAAAGACCCAAAAGATTCTTAGCAATGACTCGGACTCGAATATTGGTAATCCTCCGCCTCTCACTCAGAAGAAGAATAAGCAGCCGTCTCGAGCAGGGAGTGTCGTTCCCCAGAAGAGAGCAGTGTCACGCAGGCCCAGCACTCCACCTTTGTTTTTGGAGGACTCAGAGGATGAGGGCATGAACCAAGATTCGCCGGTGGATGACGACAATGACCTACAGACACTGCAATCCAGCGCGGCTTCGCGCAAGGGTACCCAAACAAGAAGGGGAACGGCCAGAAAGGCAGCGTTGAAAGTCGATTCTGATTCTGATTCTGATGCGGTGTTTAAGCCGGTGAAAGCTAGGAGAAGAAAGTGATAGTTTGCTTCATTCTTGGATAGATGGTGTACCTATGATTGGTCTATGTACGTTCCTCTTTGTGTTTAATATACTAATTATATCGGGGAAGGGACCGATTGCAGATCTCAAGGTCCCTGAAGAAGCAAGTTGGAGAATCAGGCAAAGGAAGATTTGCTGAAGTGTTGAGCGCCGTAAGTTTTGATGTTGAATGTATTGCAAAAAAGAAACCCACTTGTTGATCCACTCGTTGGTATTTGACTTTTTATTCGGTTTCAGAGTTACTGAATGTGGACTTAATAGTGGCAAATCTCTAGTCCTAATGGCAACCGCAATTTGAACTAGAGTAAGGAAGGCGATGGAGCACTCTTTGATGGTGTCTTATCGGCTAAACTGTATAAGAGCTATCGTGCCGTCCGCCTTGACTGGTCCGCTGAGGCACTCCACTTCGACTTGAACCTGTTTCAAGTTTCTTTTTATTTCCGTGTATCGGGGCCGCATCCAGCCTAGAATCATCTGACACCTTCAGCTGCATCATCATCATGATCCTGGCGATAACGATCTAACATGATCTACTTCGCCTTTTGATCTTGTTTCCTAGCAACTAAGCTCCTCGTGATACCAATGGCTTTTTCCGTAACGCCGGTATTAGGTTGCAAATCCCGACCTACTGGCCTGTTGCAAAAACTCCAATAAATTCTTACTGGTGGGGTTTGGCCAGCGATTTGGAGGGTTGCTTCGCGTACCCCGGACATCTGCATCCGAAGATTCTAGTGTCGGAACTCAGACTAAGTCTAGGGGTGCAGGATGGAGGAAAATATTTTGACGACCGAGTGTAGGCACAGGAACAACATGGGCACTGTGCTTCACCCGGTGTCCTTACTTCTGGGGGTGTTCACTGATGCCCCATGGTTGCTGAGGATAGCCTTATCGGGGCTCCGCGGATGTGGATGTAATCGATTATTTAGCCGTGTTACACATCAGACCATGATGATCAAATGAGGGATCGTACGCGAAGCCAAAAGATTTTCTCCGGACGATGCTCCTTCTTGTTGACTATCTTCCTGGGCAATTGCCAGAGCCATGCAGATCAGCGTGCGTTTTCGGTACCTGCGTCTCTTCTGGGTTTCTGACGACCCATTCAGTTAGTTACTGGGTCACTGGTGGCGAGTTGTATGCTTTTGGTGCGATTAAAATGGTTCCTCTTGGGGTTGGTCTGCTGATGGTGCTGAACAGGTTTATGACTGGGCTTGCACACTCGACCGGGAGGTTCGCCGGCCTTTTTTCCTCATTCACGTCTTCTCATAAAGTAGCCGACAGGTAGACTATGTCTGGTCACATCCCCTATCGTTTAGCGCGATGCTATTCTTTCTGAATCGATATCTACCCTTCGTGGATGCATTTATCTCTATGAGCTGTGCGTCCGGGACTTTAACTCCGGTGCCAAATTCTTAGCTGATTGTATGTAATGTTTGCAGTATCATTTACTCAGAACTCTCCCGAGGTACGTACGCGCGTTTCAGGGTACCCTTAGCACGCAGACTGAGCCACCAGATACATAGAAATGTGTTAGACATTTCAAAGTCATAACCTGTAGGCCTCAGCCACGATATAGATTGCTTTCCATGTTCCTGATTTGCCGTTATGGCGACGTAGGGTTTACGGTGGTGGGCATTCTTCTGTGTGAAGGTACCTTCCACGCTTTCAAGGGGGGAATTTACGGTTTCACCCGTTCTGATAGTGATTTTGATGCTGCGAACATATGCTATCTGGGAGCGGAAAAGATCAGTCATGATCGGATTTATTATACTCATCTTGGTGTGTTTTTTTTTCTCCGACGTGCAGGCTTGTACCTAATGGAGCTTTCAAGGTTGTGGCCGTCCCGTCGTTTGTGTTCACGGGCCTGGAGCTCAGCTCCCTTATATGTTCGTACGACCACCATCAAAACTTACGCAAGGCTAACGGAGATGGTGTTCCTCCAGACAGAAAAGCGGAAATAGGATGTCGTCTGATTCATGCGAGTCCCATCATCATGGGAGCATATCTTTTGCTGCTGCTCTGTGAAACTGGTACATCGATTCGTTAACATTTAGAAGACCGATATGAGATGCCTTTTCTTTGCAGTCATCGCGGTGCTTATGCTAATAAAAGCAATACGGCATTGTAAGTCAATTCGGTTCCTTCCAACAACTGAGTCCTGATTTCGTACAGTACGACCGCCATATTCGCCATGGGTTGCGAAGTTGTACCGAGATGGTGAGTTAAATTTTATTAAGAATGTGTGTAGATTCCAGATCATGGTGCTGACAATTTTTTAGGATTATTGTTTTACCTGTATCTTCTCGGTCAGCCTTTTTTTTATCTTCATATATCGGTATATGACAAACATGCCCTGTAGTCCTGTCCTTGGCTAATGTCGTCATTCCGATACGCGTACCTGTGAGTCCACTTCTGGTTCAGTCCTCGTAAACTCGTAAACTCAAACACCTCTTTCACTTAGTCACTCTCGAATTGGCTCGCAACGTGTGTCCTTGCACCCTGCCCATATTTTGCTCTTTATGACGCGCATCTGCAGACCTCAGCGTGTCTTCCATTCCATCTTTTGTACCCGCATACTCTTGCTGATCATGAAACAACGCCGTCCACCAAGCTCACCCATCTTAGATAGCACGGATTTGACGATTTTTATGCCTCGCTCTGAGGCAACAGACTCATCAGCGCTGGCTTCCTCCTCGTCACCAGCATGATTCTGACTATCACACGATTAGTTATTTTGTAGAGGCTGTAGCATAGTCGTACTCTGTAGCTTTATCTGCTTTTGGATTCAAGATCGGTCCGGACCGTGAGACATACGTGTGAAAAGACCCTGATTGAGAAAAGGAGGCCCATTCATGGGCGCGAGTGCGGTTCCTGTCCTTTCTTCGACGCCGACCATCTCTGAGCTGGTTGTCGGCGCGCTCGTACTAGAGAGGACGCCGCTGCGTATCAAGACGAAGAAACGCAGACAATACTACCACCACTTCCAACCACCCGCTAATCGGTTCTAAAATCAAGCTACGAAGTTTTATCCGCTCCCACTATGGCCATGGCTATCTCAGTGCGGCGGCGGTCGCTGTCGCGAGTTCTCTTCGCTTTCCTTCTGATATTCTTCGTTCGAGTGCTCTTCTTTTCTACACCATCGGGGCCGACATTGGCGAGGCAGGCGAAAGATGTTGAGATTCGGGAGCAGGGGTTATTTGAAGGAATCGGTAAGGGTGAAGTATTTGTATGGACGCACTGGACACTGAATGGGATATTTAGGAACTACTTTCGATGTGCAAAGTCATTCGTGGTTTCAAGCGAGGATGGGAAGAGATGAGAGACAGGACATCTTCAGCGGTGTGGTCAGAGATGGCGTGGATGATTATTGGGAACGGTATCAGGTCCCTTAGTGAGTATATTTTATTGACATGTGGAAAGCGGCTCAAAATATTTGGTAGTATGATTAGCAAGGAAACATCTAATATGGATGCACAACATGTCCGTTCCGCCATCGACCAGCTCCTCTCACTCAATGGATGGGTAGCCGCTCTGTGTCCTACCCTTGCGCGACCCTTCGGACAAAACAGCAAAACAGATAACTATGAGGATTTGGTGTTCGACGGAGCTCGGGAGCGGTATTATTTCATCGCAATTGTCATCCACAGTGCGGATCATTTTCTGGTTGACCAGCTTGCGGTGATCGTGCAAATGGCGAAGAGACTTGGGACAGGGAATATCTTCGTGAGCATGTTGGATTATGATAGTAACGACAGCACGGAGACCCTGGTGGACCTCTGTGAGGCGGTCTTGACCCTTTTGGGTGTTCCGTTTAGAATTCGAAGAGTCGGAGGCATGACTGAGGATCCAGCCGCCGCCTATTACCCTTTGGAGGAAGCATATATGCGGAATTCGGCACTCGAGCCGTTGTGGGAGTTGCGAGACAAAAGAGGGGTCACTTTCGATAGGGTCGTGTGGTTGAAGGGATTTACATGTCCAAATGACATTCTAGAGACATTGAGGGTCAGTCTCGTTAACCAAGCGGGAATGGTATGTGGTATGGACTGGGCAGAACATGGTGGCGATTTTATTTTCAGCGATAGGTGAGAATTATTTCTTCATTCTTTGCGTCAAGAGTCGCTAACCCCTTTTTTGCAGATGGCGCACACGAGACATTGAAGGAGACCAATTCCGTCAGAGTAAAAGCTCCAATCGCGCAGAAGCGGGCGTACCTCCAAGGGACGAACAGGGCGCCCAGCGTTACGGCAAACACCTACCGTTCCAGGTCTTTTGCTGTGAAGCAGGCACCCATATCGTCGATCCCTCCCAGACCTATTACAAAGGTATCCGCTACCGGGCTGGATCGGACTTTCACAATATTAGTCGGACAGATCCTGCGCCTGTTCGCGGCCCTGAGAGTCAGTGCTTGGATAGCAGTCAAGCCTATTTCTGCCGGGATCTATGGGTCCGAAGTGCAAGAGAGGGCATGGAGGAGGGCTACCTGGAGAGGGGAGAAGGTTTACTTGATAAGCAGCGATTGCATCGTCGGCAGGGTTTCGGTCACAAGCACAAGGAGGCTCAAGCCCAGCCCGCCGACCCCGACGCCAATGCTGGTAGCGATTACGATGCAATGGCGGATGAAGAGGAGGATCCTGGTCAGTGGGAAGGTGACAAGCTGGCCATTCCCAACTCGGTGTTTCGGCCCGCCAGGATACTTGCTAACCCTCGCTGTCCGACTACATATGCCGGCGTCAGTCATACCCAGCTAGCTCGGGATTTGTTTGGTGACGACCAGGGCAAGGATAACGGCGAAGGGAAGAGCAGGTATATATTGGAAGATTGGGAAGGCGCACCAGAAAGTTTCGTCTGCCAAGAGCAGAGAACGACGGGTGGACGTGGAGCACCAAAGACGCAAAGGAGACTAGGCTTTTCGATTCATGATGAGCTACAGAAGCTGTAGCATTGATTTTTTCGGTACTTAGCGTTATAGATTATTATGGGATGGATAATACCACTAATGGGAAGTAATCTAAATAAAGCTGGACAGTTCACTGCTGCGACATAGCTGTCAACTTCTCAATAGTCACCGTCGCTTCTGAACTGGCTGTGAACAGCGAGAGATATTAGAATCTACCTAGGGAATCTCCTCAGCTACAACAGGCTTTTCCAATTAGGATGACCTTTGGCGGTCGTTTGCTTACCTCGTTATACACGCCTAGAACTTTCAAACGGTATTTCTCCTCGGTGTCGTCAGCACTTCAGGAAAGCGGGGACAATACTTATAATCTGATAATTCATGAAGAACTTTGGGGGTTTCAGCTGCCGATCGTTATGGATTTTTTCAAGACAAGCCTGGGGGCAGTCTGGGGCCTGGTGGTCGCTTCACTATCCGAACCAAGGTTGGTTACGGCTCACTATCTACCGTATGGATTGCTAAAGATTCGGGGTGCACTTTTCTGTTCTATCAATGATGACCGACAAGTACTCAATACTTTTCACCGCTAGTAAAAATGGACCATGTTGCCCTCAAAATATTGACCGGATACTCCTCGCAGATGAATTTTGAACACAAGCTTCGCGAAGTAGATGACCATCGGCGTTTTAATTATGGCCCGCTTAGCGCTCACGACTGTGGTTCCCAGATGATTACACATTTCACTCATCCTGGCATCGAAGATGATGGCGAGCACTTGTGTCTTGCTCTTGAACTTTTACAGACGGACGTTCAAACTGTTATACGCTTGCAGCCTGACCAGGAGTTCCTCCCCTTAAACATAGTCACACGTATATTGAGTCATACTCTCAAAGGACTAGAGACCTCGCACCGTCATGGAATCGTACACACGGGTAGGAGTGTCACAGTTCCGTTTTCCGTTTCCGAATCTCTCGCATTCCAGACCTTAAGCCTGACAATCTAAGCTCCTGACAAACTCACCGTTGTTTGACCCTGTGGTTCAGCCCGCTTATCGTCACTTCTATCTGCCACAGACCAATTTTGATGATCCTGATATCAATGTCATTCATACGTTACTTCAAATGAATATGGTCATCGGTGAACCCGTTCATCCCATTCTGTTGCAAGCATTTCCGCTGGATTCACAATACTATGACGAGAAACGTGCTTTCTCTTTTAATCTGCTATTGATGGTGTTTTGCTAATCATTCTTAGGAGCCCTCAAGTTCGCCGATGCTTCGCTTGTACGACATGTACCTGTTTCCGAGATGATTCAGGAAGCGCGATCTAGCTCTCCTCTCGAATCAGCAGATCTAGAAGGGGCAGCTCGACTTATTGAAAGATGTTTGAACTATTCCATGAGTCAGCGTCCGTCGACCGGATAACACATGTCTGATGCATGGCTGACGGTAAGTTAGAACTATTTGCATTAATGCTGGCGACATCAATTGGTTGGGGAAAGAAGATATAATTAAATTGCAACCCATCTCTGTAAGTAAAAACTCTAGCAATCGTCCATCATGTCATCGATATTATTTAGTACACGACGCCTCAACTCATTTATGTACTACATCTGTTTTTGACTCTTGAGTTCTCAGGCTGAGAAGGATGTTTTATATCTTTTCGTACTTTTACTCGACAACGAGCTATAGGAAATCCAAGTAAACCAGATAAGTTGTTAATAATTGGAGTGTTCTTAAAGCAAACAGTCAAGTTCCTGGAAGAGTCCAGCCTTTGTGTTCACCGTGAGAACTTTTTGTGTTCTTCACTTAGACAGTTTATCGACGTTGTCTATGGAAAAGGAGCTCGACCAGTAGGCCAGGTGGAGGACTCGGCGCTAAAAATAATGCTAGCCCAACACCTTGTTCATTCACGCTTGTTCACCATCTTCCGTAGCCGTTTCCCATCAACGTCCACGCGGCAGAACACGGACGAGAAGATAGATATTCATCAAGATTTAGGAAGAGCCTCTTGGACTCCCTACCGAAGCAGGATATGGATATTTTCAGGACAAGCCTGGGAACAGCATAGGTCCTGATGGTCGGTTCATTATCCAGGCGGAACTTGGCTTTGGAACAGCTTCCGGTGTGTGGCTGACCAAGGATGGGATGTACGTGTTGTAACATTCTCTTGTTTCACAGATTAATAGTTAGTTGTAGTAACAATAGCTACGTTTCCCTCAAAATTCTGAAAGGATACGCGTCGCAAATGAACTATAAACACAAGCTTCGTGAATTGGATGTCCACCAGTGTTTTATCTTGCCTCTCCTGACGTACACGACTTCTGCTCTCGAATGATTACTCATTTCACTCACACTGGAATGGATGATGGTGGCGAACACCTGTGTCTTGCGCTCGAGCTTTTTTAAGCCGATGCAAGCAACATCATGCGCTTAGTACCTGCACATGAATTCCTTCCTGTCCGTATCATCAAGCGTATTCTTCGCATACCCTCAAAGGACTCGGAGTGTCGCACCGTCATATAATCGTGCACACAAGTGCATATCCCGTCCTTTGTCTTGATGATCATCGGTACCATTTGCTTTAGATCTCAAGCTCGACAACATAAGAGCAGCCTTTGACGAAAAGTTTACCGAAGAGATTCTGGATGAGTGGGCCCGAGCGACCCGCCACGGATTTATCTGCCAAGCAAGAGTCTTGACAAAATGGCTACAACATTTGTTTCCGAAAACCTGCCACTGCCTTCTATTGATGAACTATCCGGACGCACGTTCAAAATAGCTGATTTTAGTGATGGTGAGACTCTAATGGCTCAGAGACTTGCATGAGCCATTTAACAAGAGTTCCGTAGCTCAATTTTGTGATGACCACACGACGGAACCACATTACGCCCCTAGGTCTTCGCCCTCCTGAGATCATGTTAGGTGGATCTTTGGACGAAACAGTGGATATCTGGACCTTTGGATGCATTGTATGAGTCGACTTCCTTGATCATCGATTATACTTCATTTATCTTTCTGCCAGGTGTTCACCCTTTTGACACGGGTCCCTCTATTTCTGACGTCGACCCCCGCCTTCATCACCTGCACCCCCCCCAGGAACCGACTTCTCTGACCCGACGTGCGGCATATCCACTTATTGTTCCAGATGACATATTTCACGGAGCAAAATTTCACCCCCGCCCTGTTGGAGATATATCCTCATTCCGCGAGGTACTTTGACGAGCAAGGTATGATTTACTGCTCGGTTCGTTTTTCCGTTCCGCTCAAAGTATGACGACGCAGATTCCTTCAAGCTGGTCGATTTTTCATCCCTGCCTCGTGATCGGTGGCCATTACTTGGGATTTTGGCGACTGGAAGAGCACCACTCGAAAGTTCTGATACAGATGGAGCCGTAAGACTTATGATGCGATGTTTGAAGTTGTATCCGACTGAGAGGCCTTGGGCGAGGGAGCTTTTATCGGACCCTTGGCTTACGGAGGATGACTAGACAAAATCGATATCTACCATCTGTCTGCTACGTCACAGTGCTTTCGCTATCGGTGGCTGGCCATATAACCCTTACTCAAACCTTCGACTACATGTTTTCGTTTGTCCTTGCTATCGGTATCTCACAATGTTACTATCCAACCCCCGCTCAATCTAATAATCTTCACGTTTCGCGAAGACCAGGGCACCCAACATGGCTTGTATCTTTAGCAGGCCATTACATGCTCTAATTTTTTGCTTTGCTCATGACCAGCAGCTTAGTTTATCCCCATTCCCCTAATCTCAACGACTCCCGAAATGTCACGCACTCTCCGGAGGCTCTAGGGTATCCCTTACTCGCTCCTTACGCTTCGAAAGCTGCAAACGTTCGTTCAACGATGTCTTCAGTTGCATGTGAGGGCGGAGGATCACGAACTGCGACATATAATGCTGCCGTCACAATAATCACGATACCTACCACCGACCATGAGTCGGGAGTGAAATTGAAGAAGACCCGCTCAAGAATCGTAGCGAATACGATCTTAGGAAAGGTGTTTAGGTCTGACTATGGAAATTAGGGCGTCAAAACACGTACCTGGGTGTAAACAGCGGTCGTCCCCCTTCCGGCTGTTTCGCGCTGGAGGCCCATGGTGATAAGGAGCTAGGAGAAGCCAACGTATGGTTGGAAATATTTCGCGCGATGACCGGGATAGCAGGCGCACCTGTCCAAAGAATCCAGTGATTCCCAATGCCAGAAAGAGAGCGATCCATTTCCAATGCGTAGAGAAGATAAGGGGGGTACCCATTATTGCTATCCTGGGCGAAGATTAGGGTTACGAGCACTGAGTGATTATCAAAATTTATTTACCCGATACTAGACGCAATGACCGACTGTAGTGAGAATGAAGCTAAGGAATGGAGCGCGTGAGCGCGAGAACCGATGGCGCGAATAGTTGTAACTTTGGAGGTAAGCAAGGACATGATAGAGAAATCGGTGAAGGGCTCACAAGCAGCGGTGGTTCCAAGTACGCCAATTAGTGCAACGCTAGAGCACGTCAACTGGGCCTAAGGATATTAAATGGTCAAAATCTATTAGCACGTACCCAACCGCAAGCAAACGATGTTCAGGATCCCTGGATTCGTCAACCGGTAAGTCCCCAAATAAAGATTCTGGTTGCGCAATGCAGATGACACCGGAGATGCTGAACGCTACTCCTATCAAAAGGCCATACTTGTATGCAACTTGAAGCGGGACATACGTCCAGCTATGATCTGCCCCACAGATACCGTCTCCCCGAGAAATACAGCGCCTGCGACGGCGGTTGTCGTCGGCATCAGAAAGGTGAGAACGGTAGCTTCTGAAAGGGAAAGATACTTGAGGGAATAGTATACGCCGCAGATACCGGTGAAACTGAGAATGAAACACAGTCAATGCATAAGAAGAAAAGTGAGTCTTCGTACCCGCATATTCCGCGAAATACGAGAAGCGCACGTGCCCCGTGGGGTCCTCTGAAAGGCTCAGGAATTCCTGCACATAGCATGTAGGTCACAGAGCCAAGGTAAGTTATACTCTGGAGGACTTCTGTTTTAATAATACGTGGAATCGTGCTTGGCAGAATAAACACACCATGTGGATGGCGATTAACTACAGAAAACTGATGAGGCGGGAATAGGTAAGACAGGCTTGAAGCTCACCTGAAATGTCGGCACTGACTCGTCGAGTCTATTCAGTTCCTTCACACAGACATTTCCTATAGAAAAGATGAAAGAAGCCGCGACAATAAGCAGAAAACCCGTGTTCCTTTGGTAGGCATCTTTCAGGGAAGATCGCCAATCTCGAAGAACGGCTTTGGGAAGGAGAGGAGTATTTTCGTCTCGGACCTCGACAGTCATGACTTGGGGTTCAGAAAGAGAGCAGGTTGTCGTCGCAGAAAGATAGACATATGTATGGTGCGAAAGATAACTGACATTGCGTCACCATTATCTTTCTGGAGATGGCCCTCCGTCTGCGTGTATGTAGGGCCTGACTTTGTAATTATGACAAAGATCCCAAGCGTAAAGTACACCCCGGGGGGTACCTACCCAAGAACACAAGTCAGCTCAGAATGGTATCAATCCAAGAATTAGTGACGTTACCCATTCTTCAGCTGTAGTGACGACGACACAGAATATATTGGGCAAGGAGATCTGGTGAGATGAATGACCAACACACATCAACTGGACCATAGATAGGGGAAAGGGCGACGCCTTCTTGAGCTGTTCGTCCTCATCTTGCATCATTCCAATCGGTTTAAGATCGTGCTAGTCAGGAGTCTAAATGGTATTGCCCTTTTAGGCGTGCTTTGACAGCAAGGTCGCGCCATATGTGCATTGAATTCATGATTGAGGAAATGTGCCCTCAGTGATAAACCAAGAGCTCGACACTGTTTGACCTGTCATACGGCCCTTGTCAGCTACTTAAAGGTCCGTGAAGGTAATGGATAGTGAATTGTGCTTACCTTATCTGCGGTAAAGGATTAAGATGGACTGGCCCATCTTAAGTTGTATGCGGATGGAGTACAAAAACATGGAGAAGATTTCCAGTAAGCTAGACTAAAGCACTTGACCAAGGAATGGAAAGGATGATGAACAAGTCGAACTTGAATAATTCATGGACTGACTCATTACTATGGGGACAGATGCTCCCACGGTCATCTTCGTCTGTTCTCCCATGTTTGTTAGAGTCTGATAACGAGATGACCTCACTTGCCGTCAGAATAGACTCGGAAATCAAAATGGACGATTCCCATCTATAGACTCGTCGGAAAATAAGGTGGCTGGATGAGTAATCCAAGTACAAGACCTCTTTAGCTTCTCTCCGCTCATCAGTCATGTCGTCCTTGGTCGCTCTCATCCTTGGTGCAGGCCCCAACGTTGGCCACCACGTCGCCAAAGCTTTGCAGTCCCAGAAATACAAGGTCGCTTTGGGCTCTCGCAATCCAGACGTCGATAAGCTCAAGAAGGACGGCTTCTTCCCCGTCAAGGTCGATGTCACACTGCCAGACAGCGTCTCTGCCGCGTACAAGACAGTCTCCACCGAGCTCGGGACCCCCAACGTAGTCGTATTCAACGGTGCGTCGAAATATGTCGGTCCAATATGTCACTGATTTCCTCGCAGCCGCTGCTTGGCGCCGTCCCGAGATTGAAACCGATCCTCTCTCCTTGCCTTTGGAAGACTTCAAGCGGACCATGTCAGTACCCACCAGCGTATACAGCGTGGCTCAGGAAGCGCTGAAAGGATTCCGGTCCTTCTCTTCTGGCCCAAAGGCCTTCATCATAACCGGCAACGTCCTCCCTTTCCTCCCTCACGACAACCTAGCCTTATATGATCTCCAAACGCTGAAAGTGGTGGAAGCTCATCTTGCAGAGGTATTCTGGAATGCGTATATCAAGGAGGGGATAAGGTTCGATAATCTTTTCTTCGGCCGACGTGTCTCTTGTCCAATCGGTTGACATAGATTCCATTATGCCCTCCTGGTTTCGCAGGAGGGCACCCTCCCGGATTATAGTGACTTCAAGACAAGCGGGCCTGCCCATGCTACGGCGTATTGGGAGATCATCAGTAGCGAGAAGCCCAAGGGCTGGGATTATCGGTTGCGTTTCAGTCATTTATCCTGCTACTTTGGCTGACGGGTCTAATAGATTCACGCTTGATGGGAAGAAATGGAACAAGGCAAACTAAGATTCTGGAAAAATGTTGTAAATGTACTTGTACACTATGGATTTACACCTGCCCCTCTTTCTGTTAAGTTTCTAGTAACCAAGCTCCACCTGACTTGAACACATAGGGGTACATGTATATTCCCCCCCCCCCCCCCCTACTCTTAAGGAACACAAAACGACCCTTCTTCCCCCTGCGCCGAGAGAGACGATGTATGTTGTCGATATCAACTCCAGGCTCAAGGTCCGATCGATGTGATGTGGCGACCTCCAAGATGAACGGCAATTCCCCCTGGGTTTCATCGATGGCATTGGTCAACCGATTCCAATAGTCCTAGAGATGAATTGTTATCCCTTAGGGCGATGTTTAACCCTGGCATGAGCCGGGCCGACCTGATGTGTATTTTGCTGTACTAGAGATTTATGATTATGTTCTGACCCCTTCTGCTGTCATGATGATACGATTGTACTCTTTTCACTGATGCTTTGTACTGATGAGTGCTCTTTCAGAATACACAATGCATCTTGTATCCATTGTCTTGTACTTTGGCATCTACTTCTAATGGTGTCTTTCTAACTTGCTGTCTTCTGGAGATGTTGAGTCGAAAAGTTTGAACTGTGACTTGAAGTTGTTGGAATAGCAATCCCGAGCGAGTACGAGAATGTACTCGAAGATACGATGCTAATCAGTGGCAGCTGACTTGGACTATGATCCAGACTTATGTAGTATTTCGTAGAAAGATCTTGAAGTAGTACAAAATGTATTTAAGTAGAACATCTCTCTCTCGAGGAAAATCTAATCCTTTGTACACTACTCTACTCTATACTTACAATAGGTTATGGGCCCTGGCCATAACTGAATTTACATTGCTACTCACTTTGCACTCTTTCATACTTTACATACACATGTAGAACCACATGGATAGCCAGTCTGTGTATAGAATTGACCCCCTTAAGGGCCTGGAAAATTATCCAATGTGGAAAATCAAGATGATCAATATCCTAACTGATTTAGGACTAATTGATTATGCAGATGTGTTGGGATAGCAATCCTGAGTGAGTACAAGAATGTACTTGAAGAGATGATGCCAATCAGTGACAGCTGACTTGGATCGTGATCTGGACTTATTTAGCATTTTGTAGAAAGATCTCAAAGTAATACAAAATGTATTTAAGTAGAGTGTCTCTCTCTCAAGAGGCTAATTCTAATCCTCTGTACATTACTCTGCTCTCTACTTACAACAAGATAGAAGCATTCTGACCTCAGCAGACATGACATGATATATATTGCTGGTTCAAAGACTTCAGCAGAAGTCTGAAAGGCTCTGAAAGATATGTATGAGTCTAGAGGACCCATGGGAATTGTCCTTGTCAGAAGGAAATTCTTCAGAGCTCAGTGTGAAGAAGGAGGAAACATAGAGGAGCATATTAGGACTATGAGGTCCTATCAGGAGGAGCTTGCATCCCTTAAGCAGAAAGTTGAGGAGGAGGACTTCTCTATTACACTGCTTACATCACTTCCAGAATCTTGAAATTCATTCATCTTATCAGTGGATACTGCTGACTTGAAAGATTCTTACAAGTTGATTTCCTGAATTCTCTAAAAGACATTCAATTAAAGGAAAAGGCTTCTGATTAGACCATGATGCTTGCAGCACATGGCAAGAAGTCCAATCTAAAAGTCACATGTTATGGATGTGAGAAAACTGATCACATCAGGACAAATTGCCCAAATGGGAAGAAGAATTCTGGAAAGTCATGGAAAGGAAAGAGAAGGAGCCAGACCCAGGCATATGTTGCCAAATCAGACTCAGACTCAGACTCAGAAGACTATGCATTTTGTGCAACAGACATTGCACTTATCTCACTCTCAGGAGTATTATAGCTAGGAGACTCTGGCACTACCAGATATATAGTCAAAAATAGATTATATTTTTCTAACTATGTTGAGACTCCAGAACATGAAGTTATTAGTGTAGGCAAATCCAAAGGCTTGAGAAGGAGAACTGTCAAGATTAAAATAATTGAAAGAGAAAAGATCACTCCAGTTACACTAAAGGAGTGTATCCACTGTTCTGATGCACCATTCAATCTTATATCACTAAAGCACATCACAGATGCCAGATTTGAACTCAAATTCAAAGAGTCCAGAATGGATATTATCTCACCACATGATAAGACAATCAGCTATAGAGATAAAATATCAAAACTGTATAGCCTTGACATCATTGTTTCAGAAATAACTCAGGCTTATGCTATAAAATCAATCTGATCATGGCAAAAGTGGCATAAAACATTAGGCTATTTAAATATGAGATTAGTAAAGAGACTATTTAGAAAGAAAGTAGTCAAGAGGATGAATATAGATGAATCAGCTGAGCCTTAGACAGATTGCATAGCTGGCATAAAAGCCAAGCATCATACTAAGCTATTTCCACAGGAAGCCAAAAGAAACTACACTGAAATAGGGAAAATAACATTTTCAGATCTATAGGGGCTGGCCTGAACTCAGGGTATCCATGATGAAAGATATTTATATAAGCTTCACAGATGAAAAATCTCAGAGAACAATGTTGTATTTTTTAAAGTCAAAGTAAAGTATGGAAATTCAAAAGAAGATTTAACAGTATTAAAAATACATCAAAGTTCATAAAGGGAAGGATCTGAAGTTTATGAGGATTGACAATGGAAAGGAATATGTCAATGAAGAGATAAAGAAATATCTCCAGAATTATAGCATACAGTTGGAATTGACTACAGCATACTTTTTATCTTAAAATAGAGTTGCTGAGAGAATAAATTAGACTCTTGTGGAGCATGCATGTGCTATGCTAGAAGAACATCACCTATCAAAGTTTCTATAGTCTGAGGCAGTAGCATATGCCACATACCTAAAGGACTGATCACCAACTAGGGCCATCAAAAATGATCTGATTTTAGAAGAAGTGTTTCAGAGCACAAAACCAGATATTTCAGCACTTTAAGAATTCAGAGTAAAGTGCTAGATGTTTCAGTAAGACAACAAGAGGTTAAAACTAAATCCAAAGTCAAGGGAATTTATTTTTACAGGTCTTACAGATGAATCTAGAGTCTAAAGATATTATAATCCTTAAACCAGGCAGATTCAGATCTTAAGAAATGTTATATTCTTTGAAAGCAACACTATAGAGCCTATAGACATTGACTATATAGTCTTCCACTCTTGTCACTTGAGGGAGAGTCAGAGAGCAAAGTTGAGCAGACTCCAGATGGAAATGATGGCATTTCAGATGATTCTATGGATGCTGAAAATACTGAATCAAAAGAGGAAACAGCCTCTGATGTGCTATCAATCAAATCAAAGTTTTCAATATGGCATAAAAAAATAATCAAGCCACATAACAAATCAGTCTAGATTGCATCAATAACTCAACTGAGTTACTAGACATTTCATAATCCAAGTGCATGAGCTGTGAAAATACCAGAACAATAGTGTACCTCAGAAGAATCATCTTTAGAAGCCATAAATATTGCAATAGACTATGCATGTGTTAAGGAAACTGCAGATGATCTTGGTGATGAGCCATTAAGCCTTAAAGAAGCTAAGACAAGGCTAGATTGGCATTATTAGAAGAAAGCAATAGATGAAGAATACAATCTATTGACTTTCTTAAGCACATAGCAGCTAGAAGAATTACCCAAAGACAGATCACTTGTGGATTGCAAGTGAACTTACAGATTGAAAAGAGATGATGATGGGAAAATCACCAGGTACAAGGCCAGACTTGTTGTAAAAAGATTTTCACAGGTATCTGGAATTGATTTCTTCAAGACATATGCATCTGTTGTCAGACTGGACACATTCCATCTACTTATGACAATTGCTGCTTAAAGAAACCTAATTGTTCATGGAATGGATGTTGATGAAGCTTACTTAAATGATAAACTCAATGAATCTATTTACATGGCACAACCTTCTGAATATTCAAATGAGAGTGAAAAAGCAGCACACCTCAAATTAATATTGTATGGACTCAAGCAATCTGGCTGAGTTTAGAATGATAAATTAAATACTATATTTTTAGGACTAGAATACACCAGATTGATCAGTGATCAATGTGTATACATCAGACAAATGAGTTCTGGTCCTATAATCATAGCTGTACATGTTGATGACATGATATTGCTTACTCCATATAATGAAACCATGTCTAAAATAAAAGAAGAGCTTAAGAAGAAGCTAAATATTACAGACATGGGGGAGATTCAATATATATTGGGCATGAAGATAGACAGGAATTGGGATAAGAGCACTATCACTCTATCTTAGAAGGCATATATTCTCAAAGTACTTGAGTGAATGAGTATGAATGATTACAAACTGGTCAAAATGCTTATAGATCTAAATGTACAGCTAGAGAAAATTCCAACAGAAGACCCATAAGGCATTGACACAGCCACTAGGCAATATTACCATACTGGTGTCAGATCACTAATGTATGCAGCCAATGGATCCTGGTCCAACATCACATATGCTGTCATCAAATTAAGTAAGTATGTGCAGAATCCAGCACTGAGCATGTCACAGCCTTGAAGTGAGTTTTCTGCTATTTGGAGAGGACTCTAGACTTCAGAATCACATATAGAGAGACTATGAATGAGCTGATACCTTATTCAGACTCAGACTGGGGAGAAGACAGAGTAGATAGAAGAACAACATCTGGTTATATCTATACCTATGCAAGAGGAGCTGTTACTTGGAGCTCAAAGAAACAGCCCACCATAGCCTTATCTATTATAGAAGCAGAATATATGGCTCTTGCACACACAACTCAGGAAGTAATTTGACTATGAGCACTCTTAACTGAATTAGAATTGCCACCTTATAAAGCAATGACTATTTTCATTGATAATCAATTAGCAATTAAATTTGCTGAGAGTCCCATATTCCATGCATAATCAAAGCATATAGACATATGGCACTACTTCATTTGTGAGCATATGGCTTCAAATAAAGTTAAAGTTCAGCACTGTGCATTAGAG